GGACGCGGCGGCGCTCGCGGCGCGATCGGGAGGGGAATTACCGCCGAAAGAACGCGTGTTCAGACGGTTAGATCGGGGGGGGGAGACGCTCGAGGACGGGCGGTCGTGCGGGGGTGGGGCGCGTGGAGTGGAAAACGCGCGCGTGTAACTTTAAAAAACGAGTCAAAACCGCCCCACGTTGGCGCCGAGTTTCAACTTGGCCTCCATCAACGTGTGCGTGTCCAAGCGCGGCGCCTCCTCGCGCATGGACTCGTGGCCGAGGTAATCCTCGTATCCGAACCGGTCGATCTCGCCCGTGACGATGGACAACCCGAGACGCTTGCTAGGCACCAGTCCCGGAAGGCGCTCGACGTTGCTCAAAATCTGTCTCTCGATGTCCAACTTGGCCGGAATCGCCGCCCCGTGCGTGAACGCCATCGCTTCTAACTTTCTTCTGTACTCTCGCCCGCTCTGGTGCTGTGCGTCGCGAAAACGCGCGCCGACGTCGCGTCAGTCTCGCGAACGAACGCGTCGGATCTCGCGCGCGTCTTCACCCGTCTTCTCGCCCATCGCGCCGCGCCGCGCCGTCGATCGCGCGCGCGCACCTCCTCTTGCATCACCTCCACCGGGTGCTTGGTCGTCGAGGACCCAACCTCTCGCGCGGCGCCTAAACCGAGACGTAACGTGTCCACGGGTCGTCGCAAAAATTTGATCTCAGCGTCATCCTCCATGGCGGTCGTCACCGTCTCCGTCGTCTCCGCGCGGTTCGGGCACGCGCGCGCGTGATTCGACGCGGTCGTTCGCGCGCGCGGGTGAATCACGCGGGCGAGGCGTGGAGTGCGGCGGCACGCGCGCAGAGGTCGGCGCGCGGGGCGGGGCGTTTTCGTCGGCGCGACGCGCTGTGGATTACAAACATCTCTCTACACCGCTCGCGATCGGCCGAAGAAGCGATGAATTCTCCCGAGCTGCGGCTGCGTGAGATTGACTTCGCCCTTGCGCGCCTTTTCAGCCATCTTGGCGAGCTCTTTCTTCGCCGCGCGCTCGCGCGCCTCTTGGTCGTTGAATCGACCCCACCCGGTTTCGTTCCCGGCGAGAAAATTCGCGTACCTCTCGCTTCGTGACTGCTCGTACAGATCACCGCGCATGTGGTACTCTAAAAATTTCGGCCAGTTATCTGTCGTGCGTGCGGTATGCTCGTGCGGACTGTACCAGTCTGGGAGGTAGCCACCGATTTCGTGCGGCGGTTTGATCTTGTCCTGTACGTGGTAGCAGTTGAGCCTCATCTTTTTTGTCGCGTAGCGATCGTCCCGACGCCCACAGATGTTCAACAGCAACCACGCGTCCACCATGTCCGCACCGCGGAGGTAATGAATCAGATCTAGAATCTTCTCTGTGAACTGTGGACCGATCATGTACGCCTGTAATCCGGCGGCGCCCAGAACTTTGTTGTACTGGTACATGTAATTCATACCTTTACCGCTCGGCCACTGCTTCACGAACTGACCGGACGCGGGACTATTGGGGTGAAGGAAAATCACGTCCGCGTGCTCCGGGGCGTTGTCCACGACACTCTGCAGCGAGGCGCCGTTCACGTGCTGATTCCACCAACCGTCGCTCTCGTAAATGATCGTCCACTTGTTCAGATTCTTCTGATGCAAGCGCCACATGCGCATGTGCGAGAACAAGCACCCGATATGATGCGAAAGGAATCCCAAACCCCTAGGAAGCGTGCCGCCATGGCTTTTCGCCACCTCCAGGTTATCGAACCAGTGATAGTGCTGGTTTGGATGACGCCGTTTGAGCTCCTCGACCGCCTCTTCGGCCAGATCGAGCGTTTGCGGCCATTTCACGGGATACACCGCCTCTTGCACCTGGACTAAATTCCGATTCGTACTATTGAGCTCATACAATCGCATGAGGCTGCTGACGATAACGTTGGCGTGTTTCGAGTCCACGGTGGAATTCGACACGGAGATGACGTACACGGGCGTCTCCAACTTCCTTCGCCTGCGCGACGCCCCGTCCAAGTACCTTCGCTCGTCATACATCGGAAATAACTTATCCTGCGTCTCTCGTTTCGCCTCCTCCAACTCCTTCCCCGTGAGTGGGTACTGATCCATCTCCGCCATCGCCAACGCCTGGGTGTTGACTTGATCGCGCGGGACGTTCGGCGTCCAAATCCTCGACCCGACGACCGATCGCGGCGCCCCGAGCGACGCCGTCGTCGCCCTCGTCCGTGTCTTCGCCACGTGACGCGCCATGTCCACCGTCAGCGCCCCGCACGCGACGAGCGCGACGGTGAACGCGCCGAGACCGAACGCTCGGAGCCGCCTCGCGGTCGAGCGCTCGCGCGCGTCTTCATCGAAGTACGACGACGACGCGTCGCACGACGCGGGCTCTCGAGGGCGATGAATGAGCGATTGACGCTCCTCGCTCGCGGCGGCGAGCGGCATGATGGGCGCGTTCGGTGCGGCGAGACGTGACGACGACTGGAACAGGCGTCGAGTGGATGGTGTTGAGACGCGCGTCCCGACGCGCGAGCGGTCGGCGCGAAGCGACCTCTGGACGAGCGAAGTCGCGCGAACGAGCGTGGAATCGCGTTCGATGGGGAAGAAAAAGTGGAAATGGATCAATCACGGTGGTTTATGTTACACGAAACGAGCTACATGCGCGGCTTGCGAGGCTCGCGAGGCGACCTTTCAGGCGTCTCGCGAATCCTTGGTCGTGTATCGACCGAGCGCCGAGTTAAAGAAGGCGAAGATTCCCTTCACGACGGACTGTCGAACGGCGACGACGGCTTTTCCAAACTCCCCACCCGGACCGACGCTCGTCTCGCGCACGAACAGGGTGTAAACCAGACCAAAGCTTCCGTTCACCAAGAGCATCGCGACGAGCGCGACGGCGATCGGTGGCTCCTTCTCTAAAAACAGATCCAACTTCTCCCCCGCCGTGCGCCCGTCGCGCACCGCCTCCACCGCGATCTCTTCATCCTTCACCAGCGCACCGACGACCGGGATCTCCTCCAAGCGTTCCAGTCCCGCCCGCGCGTTCGCCGCGACGTCGAAAACCCCCTCTGGCGCCGCGCGCGCGTCGCCCGCCCCCCCCAGCGTGAGCACCACCGCCAACGCGGTCGCCGTCGTCCACGCGCGCGCGTCCGTTCGCACCGATGCGTCCTCGATTCGCGCGTCTCGCGAGCATCGAGCGCGGCACGTCGTCGTCGTCGTCGTCGTCGATCGTCCGCTCGACGTCATCGCGATCCGTTTCGCGCCCAGCGACCGCGCGCGCGCGCCGCGCGACCTCGACCTCGCGCGCGCGGCGCTCGAGGACGACGCGCGCGCGCTCGAGGTCGCGACCGCGCTCCCGTCCATCGCGTCGTCGCGTGCGGACGCGCGCGATGGGGGAGTGGACGTATCTCGTCGTCGAGGGGATCACGGTGGAGTCATGACTCAGACGTGTGCCCGCACATACTCGGCACCCGCCGCGGCGTCGGCGCTTCGGAGGAGCGAGACGTGGTGGACGCCGACGGCGACGGCGACGACGTCGACGGCGCACGCGCGCGGGCGAACGCGATGGGACATCACATCGGACCCGACGCCCATCTGCCCGAGATCGTTGGCGCCCCAGAGGAAGAGACGGCGGTCGGCGACGGCGGCGCAGTGCCGCGCGCCGCATCGCGCGACGACGACGCGCTCGAGGTCTACGAGAACTGGAATCGCTGTCGCTTCGCCCACGGGGCAGTCTTCGGTGCCTAATTGACCGTCGCCGTTGTATCCGCACGCGTAGGCGTCGCCGGAGGCGGCGACGAAGACGGTGAAGGCGTCGCCGCAGGACGCGGAGACCGCGCGCACGTTCGCTCGAGCGAAACTCTCGACGCGCGTCGGCGTCTCGATGTCCTCCGCGCTCGCGAATCCTAAGCCGCAGGTTCCGTATGCGTTCCATCCGAATGTCCAACACCCACCGTTGACGTCGACGAAAACGCCGTGTTTCGCACCGAGAGCGACGGATCGAACGCGCGCGTCGCCGCCCGGCGCCAAGCTCGCCTCCCGCGTCGACGGTCCGGTCGCGTCGTCGAGACCGCGCACCTCCACCGCCCGTCCTGACGCGTCGACGATAACAACGGCGTCGTGGCAATGCGACGCCGCGCACGCGCTCGTGATGTTCTCGACGCCTTCTAGTTTTGTCCACTTTGTCCCGCTCGCGCCGTCCGCGTACGCCGTCAGCACCCACCCGTCGCTCGTCACCACGAACGCTCGATCTCGCGAGCACGACACCGCGGTCGCGAGACGAAGACGTTCGTCGACGATCGCGGGCCGTGTCGCGAAATCACGCAGCGTGAGCGACGCGTCGGTCGTGGAGACCACCGCGGTGAAAGACCAACCACCGGCGACGAGCGGGACGTCGACCGACGACGACGACGACGACGACGACGGTTCCTCGGTCGTGGTGTTCACGACATCTCGACCGAAGAAACCGACGTCGCGCCAGAGCATCGAGTCGCTGCGTTGTGATCGAGCGCGCGGTTGTGAGGACTCGCAATCGCGAGCGCGGGCTAACTAACTCAGAGCGGCGTCGTCACGTACCTCGAAGATGGAATTGCGAAGATGTAATTTCAAAGACTGAATCGCTAGGTTTGCCTCGCTTGAGGCGCCGAATCGAGGGCGTGGGCGTAGAGAGAGACTCGGCCTGATAGACCCCACACGCGTCCGGGATCAGTCAACAGGCGGAAGAGGAGCGATTTCGGCTGGCGCTGCGCGAAAATCTCTCCAAACTCGTAGTGAAGCGTCGACCGCGGACCTATGGCGGGTATGACGTAGTCTTCTACGTGTACTAATTCTTTTCCATCCGCATCGCAAACCCCGGTGACGCGGAGGACGCACGGCACGTACCCTCCAATGGCATCCGGAACGGCGAGCTTGAATCCGATGACGACGGATGAAGGAACGCCGACGTGTAGTAATGTACCGTTGCGAGAACTTTGCTCAAACGTCGACCGCATGTACTCGCGCCTGATGTTAGGCATAGTATCTAGCGTCGCGCGCACAGTCGCGTCTGCGAGTAGCTTGGAGCAAGCCTCGCTCGTCTGTGTCTCACACGAAAACGCCTCGGCGGAGCGCTGAATGCTGTACCCTGCTCTCAATGCTCCTTTTCCGGTGCAGGTCGCGAGATCAGATGATGCCTTCCTCAACTCCTCGAGCACAGCAGCGCAACGTTGATCTTCTAAGGTGCGCGCACTTGTGACACCGTTCCCCGCATTTGCTGTGGCCTGTTGCGAACCAAGAGCATTTGATACGTGAGAAAGCGTCGCCGAGTTTGGCCGCATCATCGGCCCCATGATCGATTCTGTCAAGCTCGATATGCTCAAACCTCGAAGACCCGACATTGCACTCAGCGATGAGGACGAGGTGGATTTTCTTTCAGCTCGCTCGTGCTCCAACTCCCTCAAACCATCGCGAGCTAGCCAATCTCGTAAGCGTTCCGTTGGATCCAAATCGATTCGGTTGAACCCGTTCTTCGTGATCAAAACATCTCTGTCCGCGACAGACATGCGCGCGCGGGTGCGAATCACCTCCAACTCTAAGAGTGACGACAGTGATGCCTGGGTTGGGTCGATTTCCTTGAGCTTACTGAAGTATTCCGCCTTTGATGCTGTTTCGCTCGGCGTCGCCCTCTCCGCGTCTACAGAACTTCGCGGCATTGGAGGCTTTGCTCCCAGCGATACCTTTTGTCCGTTCAGCGGCGTGGATGTCGATATATCACTGGCTAATCGATGGCGTTCGCTGAGCAACTCCAAGTGACCGATAGCCAAAAAGGCGTCCTTTTTTGATTCATCTTCCCCGAGGTAATTTTGCAGGTGCACCTTCACTGAATACCCGGCATCTTGTGAAGACGGAACCGCGTCGCTTTCGAAGTCGATCAAGCCACCACTCGGCAAAGCATTGGTATCGCGAAGTATGAAGCCTAACGATGTGCCGGGAGAGACGCGTGGTAATGCGAACGACGTTGCTCGATCTCGCTGACCTTCCTTGCTGACGACGACATTGACGTGCGATGGCGCGATGAATTCTGACACCTCCGTCGGCGATTTCATTAGTAGATAACCAGGGCTTCCCGACCCGGAGGACACAGAAAACGTCATGTGCAATGCGTGCTGTCCTTTGGGAGTGATCCAAAGCGGCCCCTTCGCCGCGCACATTCCTCCATGCGACGACAAAATACCCTTCAGCAAATCTTCCTCGAGCTCCGGATTCACGCACTTTGAATGCTCATTTATTTCAGCGGCATCGATTCGTGTCAACACACGACCAGGAGTGTCCGAAGTCGACGGAAAATATTTTGAGCTATTCAACCCCAGGAACATTTCAAATTGCGACTGCTTCGTGCCGTCGGATACCATGTTGTGAAACCTTCGCTGGATCCCGAGAGCGGCGTTGCTCATGGTGCTACTCGCCGTAGTTGGCGTAGACTTGAAACGAACAGCCGCCGCAGTGGCCGCGTTCGCATCGAGCAGATGAATCGTCGCGGAGTGTGACGCTCTAGTTGACGTGTACATCTGCGCGTGAAAGTCGCCGTTCGCCAGGAATATTTCCACCATGGCATTAAGGCACTGCGGCAGCATCGCAGCCCGGAACTCATCCACGGTGCTCCCCAACCATTTGAACGATTCACTCGGCGTCTGGTCCTTCTCAGGGCTCCTCATGAGCTCTCCCAGCCATTCCGCACCGCCACTTTGACACACCTTCTGTCCCGAGTTCAGCCTCGTCAAAAGTGGGCTACCGGCAGACGAGGCACTCTGGCTCGTATCTTTCGACACAGTCTCAACCGGTGATACGTCAATCGGTTCACACGGTGTGTACTCCGTGGGCAGAGACCAACTCGTCGTTCGAGTATTGTGATCTATGTAGAACGTCCTCCCGGTCGAAGTGTCCGTTCGCGACTCCCATCCCGGGGGGAGCGAAAGTCCGCCCGAACTTGTTCTGGATATTCGTCCCTCGGATGGCGCGGCAGCTCCGTATGCGAGTCCAGCGTTCGCCATCGCATTGAAAACACTCAGACCCAGTTCGGCGCACTGTTCCGTGAGCACTTGCGCGGCGACGAAGAAACCAGCAAGATTCGTTCGGTCTAGTGAATCGGCACAGTTGTATCGAAGTAGTCCACGCTGCCAGTTACTCACGGTCTTCACTCTCTCGCCATCCGCGGCGACGGTGGAACCCGAGAAGAGTGATCCCTCAACGAGGTGACGACGCAGAGCGACCCAAAGTCCCTCCACCGTTTTTGCCTCGCCGAGCACTTTGCAGTTAGCGTGCCAATCAAAGTTCAGCACCGACACATCCCCCAATCCTGTACGCTGTCGCACTCCTCTAATCGCTTCGTGGAAGTGCTCGGAGAGCAAAAATTCTGGCTTTCCAGGCGCGCATCGCAGCAAGTTCACGCACGTGATCGGAAATGTAGCGCGCTCGCCGGCACGGTAGGCGTTCATCACTCGCGAAAAGTACGTCCCAGTGCCCTTGTACGGATTATCTGGTGCTACCTGAATCTCTGCCTCTCCGTATGCCTGCTTGATCTCTTGCATCCAACTAATCGGTACGCTACCTCGTCGCCACACGTACGAGGTCCAGCTCCAAGATTTACCGTCGGGCGATACGACGGTTCCCTCTTTCTCATCGCGCGAGTCTGATGTATCCGCGAGCGCAGGGCTCTTCGCGCGATCGGTCTCGCACCAAACGAGCTGCTCCATCTCCACCTCGTTCCCGGGAGCGCCGATGTCGTTCAAGCCTCGAGCAAGGTAGCGCGTTCCGGGATGTAAGCTCGATCGCTTTCCGAAGATGCACAGGTTAAATAATTTCCCGTTCGCATCCTTCAGCTCGCGATGCTCGACGAGACCTTGCATAAGCGTCGGACAGATACCTGGGATCCCCGTCGCCTGAAGCGGTTCCGCCAGCGACGCGTTCCACACCCACTCGCGGTCTGGTTTCTCTCCTCCCCCCCCGTACGCGAACGGTCTCGACACGTCAAACGTGTGACAGAAGAAATGCGTCCCATCGCACGAGAATTCACACAGCGACTGCAGATTCGCGCGCTCCTCCCGATTTAAACCGACGCAGGCGTTTCTCAGCGCCATGCGCGTCCAACCGCTTTCTCGAACCTGCGTCACCTCATCCCCCGTCGGCAAGATCGCCGCCACGCGAGTCACTCTCGCGATCAACAACGCCGCCACATCACCGTACACGCGATATCCCAGCGCGCACGCCCCTCGCGCGAGCTCTTTATCGTACCCGCGTCGTCTCGCGCTCGAAACCGCCGACTCGGCGTCTTCGTACGACGCACCCGCGTCGTTCACCCCCAACGCCCCCGTGGCGCCGCACACCGCGATCTCCACGAACGTTCCCTCTCCGCGCGTCCGTCCATCGTCTCTCCGTCGCACGAGCACGATCCGTTCACCGTCCGAGCGTTCCAACACGACGATCCCAATCGCGCCATCGAATTCCATCGTCGACCCGCTCGCGTTCTGCGCCTCCACCGAGGACGTCGACGCGGACGCGGACGACGCCCGCGCGTCCACCGCGCGCGCGCGCGCCGTCCCGTCCGGGCTCGACGCCCGCATCGCGAGCGACGCGGTGCGGACGGTCGCGTCGCGAGGCGCGCGGTCGGTGTCCTAAACCCTATACCCTATACCCTAGAATGACGATGGATTTTGAATCCCGCGGCGACAGCCGGTCGTCGAATCGTCGGCACGCGCCGCGCGCGTCGCGTCATGGGCGATCGAGACGTCCTCGAACTCTCCGAGAGCTCGCTCGCGACCTCGCGCGCGCGTCCGGCGCTCGCGTCGGCGTCGACGCGATCGAGGAGCTCGCCGGGAGACCACGGACGTGGGCTCGGGCGCAGACCGGCGCGCGCGTCTCAAGGGAGTCAAACGAGCGCGGCGACGACGGCGGCGACGCGATTGACGACGCTCACGATCGGGGAGCGAGAACAGCGCGAAATCGATGGGTCGTGTGGAGATTCGTTGCGCCGCATGGGGTGGGCGAAGCGCAGGGACGCGGAGGACGGGGAGACGCTGGAGACGGGGACGGACGGACGAAGCGTGACCAGACGGGCGAGCGGGATTTTGAGAGCGACGTACGCGTGCGAAGAGGAAGTCTTGGATGTGTGCTGGTGTGAGTTCGGTCGAGGTGGGGTGGAGAGGACGTCGACTTTGGGAGGCGGCGGCGACGACGCGAGCGACGGTTGGTACGCGTGCGCGTTGCACAGGGACTCGTTCACGGTGTTTGGGATCTCTGGAGAGACGCGACGAATGCCGCTCGGGTTTGAAGCGGCGTCGTTCGCGGCGACGTGCGCTGGATTGTTGTTCGTGTCCCTTGATGGTGTCGTGTCGATCGCCGCGCACGCGTTGGCCGAACCGACGGCGATTGACGGATTGGACGATGCTACGAATCCCGTTCGCGTTGCGTGGAGCGACGCGAGGCGCTCGTTGGTGTTGTTTTTCGTCCCTACTCGTGGCGCACACGAGTTATGGAGACTTTCACTAGTGTCCGGCGGATCGGAGACAGAGTTCAGTGAATCCGTTCCCGAGTTTCGCATCTGCGCTGACATTTGCTGGAGCGAGCGCATCAGGGAAGATTTCGTGCCTGAGGCGACGAGTTACGGGTTCGCGCACGATGAAGATGGGAGAGAGATGGTCTTAGTTTCTGAAGACTCGGCGCGGCGCGTGACCGGTCTGTACGTGAGTTCGACACGTGAGGGAGTGAGAGCGAGCGCACCGATTGAAGGCGTCTTCTCGGCGGTGGGGGTTTCCGCGACGCGAAAATCCAACGGTATGCTGGATACTCTCGTCGCGTCTTCCGATGGTACCTTAGAACTTTACGTCGGACAGAGCATTTTGTGCAAGATACGCGTCTCGGATTCGATCGGCAACGAGACATTGTGTGACATCGATCGCGTCTCCGACTTCTTACACGGAGTCGCGACAGTTCGGCTTCATGGACAAGTTTCTGGCACGCTACGCGTGCGCGTCCCGGGAGCGCTCGCATCCCCTCACGCTCGTGCTTTATTCGCCGTGTTGCACGAGGTCTGTCGAACGGGTGAACTGATAGAAATAATTCAACGCTTGTACGCGAATGACTGCGTGGGCGTTGACGACGCCGAGAACGAGTGGCTGTGCGTCGTTCGCACACTTAACGAATGGTGTGGTATCGGCTCGAACGTTAATACGAACGAGTTAAGCGATTGGGATTTTGTGCAGCGCGCTCTTGGCAACTCTGGCTCGAGTAACCATGAATCGGAGACATCGTCGAGAGTGGGCATACACACTGCTCGCACCGAGCTTGTCTTAGCTACTGTTCACACCGTTTACGAAGCTTCAAAGGTCGACACGATTCATCGATCGATGCTAGGTTCTTTGCGTTATTTTGCCATAGCGCTGGCTACCGCGATCGACGATTGGGACTACATAGATTACTACTCACGCGATGTCGGGAAGTCTATTCAGCCGATTCGGGCAGAAGCAAAGAAACGCGTGCCAGATATACTTCGAGCCATCGAAGGAATATTTTCTGGGGAGGCTGACTTTCATGCTCTCGTCCCGCCATTGATTCTCGATGGTCTTCAGGAGGGTTCGGTGGTCGACATGAACACATACGGCGGTGATGTCGTTGTCCGTGCCAGACGAATCTTGAAACTGTGCCACACATCGACGATTGACTTGGCCAGCTTCTCGAGCACAGGAGGGACGTTTGCGCACACAATGACCGCCATGGGCTTGACGGTCGAAGACGTAGAGCGACTCCCGCCGGGTTTGGCGCAGCCATTTCATGGAATGTTGCGTTGCTGTCGAGATATACCAACGAACGGTTTGTCTGAGGAGGCGTATTCGCTCATTGGTCGACATGATTTGGCGTTGATGTATGGAGACGTTGATCTCATTCGAGACGCGAAGCAACGGCAGGCACAACTGGCAACGGCAAAGACTCAAACTGATGGATCTGGCGTGCATGACGGTTTGGAGCACCTTGAAGAATTCGTCGGTCCGCTTCGATTTCCGAGGGACTACCGAATTCGCGAACTTCGGGCAATATTGAACACGGCTTCCCCAGCACCCATCGAACTGAGTGAGAGTGAGGGTGCCGGTGGAGACGCAGAACAAGGATCGCAACAACAGTCAAAACTTTGGGTACTGGCCACGCGCACCGCCGCTCTGCCCGTCGGTAGAGGAGCCGCCACTTTGGGCACTGTCGTCGCAAAACCAACAGAGGCTCTCCAAACGCCAGTACTCTGCTTTGCGGGCTGTCTACCGACACAACAGAATGCGGTGGTCAATCTAGATCTCACGGTGGCCGATGCGCCGAAAAACTTCACAAATTGGCCAGAATTTCACAATGGCGCGGCGTCGGGTCTGGCTCTTCGATCCGACGACGACGATGGGAAGTTGAACAGAGCGTGGATCGTATTCAACCGACCGAAGGTGCCGACGTACTCCCACGCAGGCGTCCTCATGGCGCTTGGTCTAAATGGACATCTCTCTGGCCTGACTGCGACCGATTTGTATAGGTATTTAGCTCAGGAACACGAGGCCACTACGGTGGGTACGCTTTTGGGCGTCGCCGCATCCAAACTAGGCACGGGAGACCCCGCTACGAGCAGGATGTGCTTCTTGCATATTCCGACGAGACACCCTCTGTCTTTCCCAGAGATTGAGCTTCCATCTTTGGTTCAATCATGTGCACTAATGTCCGTTGGATTGTTGTATCAAGGCACGGCACAACGACTGATCGTCGAAACGCTACTCAGCGAGATCGGCAAGTCTCCCGAAGGCGACGCCATTAACGGTCGCGAGTGCTACGCGCTGTCCGCGGGCATTGCTCTCGGCCTTGTCACGCTGGGGAAGGGAAGCTCGACGAGCGGATTGTCTGATTTGCTCATCGTCGAGCGTCTTCGGCACTTCACTATTGGTGGCATTGCTAGGTATGTGCCTCCTCCTGGTGGCATGCCCGCCTCGTCAGCTGTGATCAAGTCAACGTCAGCAAACACTTCGTGGAACGATAATTACAATCCTGAAGATGGAACCTTTTGCGCACCTGAGGGACCGCCAGTGTCGGTCGATGGGTACATACTTGAAGGATCCATGGTCAATGTTGATCTCTCGGCACCCGGAGCCATCATGGCGCTCACTTTAATGTACTTGAAGACGAACGATGCGTCGGTATCCACTCACCTAGAAATTCCGTCAACGCACTACGCTCTGGACGATGCCTGTCCAGATTACGTCATGTTACGCGTGGTGGCGAAGAGTCTCATTATGTGGGATACCATTCGCGCGGATGCAGACTGGATAGAAAGTTTGTTACCGCCCTTGCTTCGCGATGCGATGGACCCGAAATCACCCGAGGAACAGGAGAATCAGAATGATTCGTCGTGGCTAGGGAAGGCAGATCGAGAGGCCATCGCACAGACGTACGTTAACGCCCTCGCTGGTGGGTGCATGGCCATAGGCTTGCGTTATGCCGGATCCGGTAATGCGATCGCCGCTGCAACGCTTCGCAAGTACGCTCTCAAATTTTTGGTGTGGAAGAAGAACGCGGGCTTGGACGCGAGGGAGCCGCTGGTGAACAAGTCAACGCTCGAGACATGTATCGGCGTAATCGCCATGTCTCTCGCCTGCGTCATGGCTGGTACCGGTGATTTGCCGACGCTTCGTCTCTTGCGCCATCTTCGATCACGCCTGGAGACGAGCGCCATTTCGAATACAGGACTCACATATGGAGCTCACATGGCGATCGCTATGGCGAATGGATTTTTATTCCTTGGTGGCTGCGCGCAAACGTTTTCGACGGATAATGCCTCCGTCGCTGCTCTTTTGATCGCGATGTTCCCGCGATTCCCTGCTCATCCAAACGATAACAGGTGGTACTGTCAAGCGTACAGACATTTGTACGTGCTCGCCGCAAAGGAACGACTTCTGAACACGATCGATGCGTCAACGCTCGAGCCGGTGTCCACTCCCCTGGAGATTACTACGTCCACACCGCGAGACGGTGTAGTACGTTCTCAACTCATTACACCGTGCTTACTACCGGATCCGGACGAACTCATTCGCATCAAGGTTATATCTCCAAGATATTGGACGACGGACTTGGACTTTGAACGACAACCTGGGACGAAGAGGGCGCTGTATGAGCTTCGCAACATTCCCATTCAGAGGCACACGTCTGCACTCTCGTACGAAGTCGATAGAACTGGGGCGAAGGCACAGCTAGGTACCGCTCTTCACGCCGCGGGTGCGCGAGCCGCGCTCAAGCCACCAGCAGTGGAGGCGACGCGCGATCACAACACGGCACCTGTCGCCAATGCGACGGCAGTGAGAGCCGGCAAGGATGCGGTGGACGTCTTCACGAGCGATACGATGCTGCTCTCATTCGAACAAAGCATGTGTACCGGCTTGAACGATCGTGCCGGGTTCTCCGCGGCCGCTCTGCGTGAGTGCATGGAGAGAGAAGTCCCTGAGGCACTTCGATGCTACGTGGACATGTACGCAGCGTGCGAAAATCTCATTCACTCAACGAATAAGTCTGATGATGAAATGAGTGCTGCTTCGATGGCTGTGAGCGATTTAAGACTGATGGACGCGTTCCATAAGCTGCTCAAGAAATCGGATGGCATCGATAATGGCTTCCCGATGCCTTTCCTGCTGACGTCTTCATTCAAGCAGAGCATCCTCTTCTTCCTCGATGAGATGTACGGCACCACCGATGGATTGCTCGCCACGTACCTGAGAGGCGGCGGTTACGACGCTTCGTCTGACACGTACGGGAACTTTGGGTGCTATCTTCGCCTTCTGGACATCCCAAATCCGGCGTTATTGAAATCCACGATCGAGACAGCTCTCGCTCGAACTGGGGCGACGGAACTCACCGTTCCGATGTTCTGCAAGTTGTTGCCTCAAAATGTCGACCCGACAACCGTCTTGCGCATCATCGACACGTGCCTTTAGTATAAACCATACTACTGTACCAGTAGCACCTTAGAAATATTGAATTACACACAACATTTGGGCTCACTCCTCGCTCGATTGTTCACTCTCGACGACACCGCTCTTGGAGAAGATGACCTTTTTGAATGGCTTTCTAAAAGCCTGCTCCGCGACGAGCGCACGCTTGTCCCCGATGGATTTCGCCACGGCGAAGAACGGGGAACTCGTATTGTCCTTCACGGTCGGGAGCTGCGAGATCTCTTTCAACACGTCCTCGCCGCCGACGATTCGGCCGACGATGACGTTCGTAGCGTCCAACTCGGGCGCAGGTCGCAGCGTGATGACGAATGCCGTCCCGTTCGGCGGCGGCGGCGGCTGATCGTACACCGTCTCAAATTTACCTCTCACACTCACCAATCGCGATTTGGGTTCCGGAACGGGCTCGCTTGGATCGCGTCGGACGATCAAAGACACCAATCCCGCCCGGTCATGCTTCGCTCGTTGTCGCTCCAAATCCTCCAGGAGCCGCTCTGCGCTCGGTCCACCAACAATGTCTACGGGAGATTGCGTGCCGGGCGTCACGAAATTTTGCACTCCACCATTTTTCAAGTACACCTCCGTCTCGTCGTCGTCCACCTCGATCGAATCCAGCGTCGTGCGTCGATACGACAAACCGCGCTCGCCTCGACACAGTTGCGCGAATCGCTTCCCGCTCAGCGTCGACGCGTCCACCTCCACCCTGACCGTGCCGAGCTGTTCGCCCTCCACCGTGACGTCGAAGAAGCACTCCACGACGTCCTCTCGCGCCTCGCTCGCGCCGATCGGGACGAGCGCGACCGCGGAGGCGAGCGAGAAGATATTTATCCCAAAGGCTCTTCGGTTTGTTTCGACGCGTTGTGCTTTCGACACGCTCGCCACGACGGTGACGCGGCGAGAGGAGACGCGCGTGGACGTATTTAATCGACTCGGTGTCGCGGCGAAACGCGCGGACATGACCGCTAGACTGCGAGGCGCTTTGAGGAGAAGGCGGGCGCGCAACCGGAGCTCTAAAATATATTTCTTCGCACGCCTTTTCATGTTCGAGTTCGGTGACGATCGCGCGTGGTTTCGATCGACGCGAACGTTCTTGACTACGTTTCCTCAGGTTCCTCGACCACGGGGACGTTTCTCGTCTCGCCTTCGTCCGGTTCTTCGTCCTCGTCGTCGTCCGGCGCGTCGCCCTCGTCGTCGGACGCCGGGAGGAACATTCCCTCAAAGTTAATGGACGACGATCCGCCCGGGGTCTGCGACTTACCGCACCTTTGTCTTCGAACCTGAGGTAAGTTTTGGTCGAAGATGTCCACGCCCTGAATCTGTCGCAACGCAGCTTGACGATGCGCCGGGATGGGTTTGGTCGGCGGGAGCGTCTGATCGAAGACGTTGTTCCCCCGCTGCTCCGCCAGCTTGGCGGCGGAGATCCTGGAGCTTCTCATCTGGGGTGCGCCAAAAATATCGCTCCCCGCCATTGCGGCGATATGCGACGCTCGCGCCTGCGCTTTAGGCGATCCACCGCGCGAAGTGCGATCGCCCTCACCGTTTCCCGAGCGCTTTGGCGGCGATTCCCCGCCGAAGATGAACGATGACCCCCCGCCCGGATCTCTCAGAACTCTCGACGTCGCTCGGGCCGTCAAAAAGTTTCCCGCGTTTTGTCCCGAGCTCCGAGTGTAATTGTTATTCATCGTCGCGCTCGAGACTCCACCCTTGGGCTTATCCTCCACCTCGAGCGCGCACTCTCCGTTCGACAACGCCTCCCACAGGCGCTCCGCGAGCGCCTCCCTCGACCCCGCTGGATTGATCCCACGCTCACGACACCGCGTTCGTAAATCCGCAATCATCATCACTTTCACATCGTCCCACGTCGCGCACCGCGTTCGCGGTCCATCCTCTTCGACGCGCGCCGCGCCCGCGTCCGCGCGAGCGTCTTCGCCGAAGATCCCCCCGCTCCCCGCGCGTTCCGCCAACTTCGCCGCGCTCGCCCGTCTCCACCGCACCTCCTCCTCGCACACACTCGTGATACCATCCGACCCAAACGTCACGCTCGACGCCCCTCCCGGCGGGGCGTTCGTCCGCGTCCCGCGTCTAAAATCATCCATTCCGAACCGTCCACGGGCGATGGATTGTCCAATTCGCGCGACCGCCACGCTTTCGACCTCACGCGTCGTCGCGTTTCTCCCTCGCGCGCGCGACGGGTCCGTGAGCACCGCACGCGAGCGCCCCGTTCGACGGTCGCGGTGTGACGCGGTGTGCCGACGCGCGCGTCGACGACCGCGCGTGGGCGATCGCGTCGATCGTCGTCGTCTCACCGCGTCACACCGCGGACCTTTCGAGCGCCGTGTCTCACCGCGTCACACCGTGGACCTTTTGGACGGTACATCGTCTCACCGCGTCACACCGCGGACCTTTTGGACGGCCCACCGTTCGCGCGGGGTGCGAACCGTCACCCCCGCGCGCGCGCGCGTCCACGCGCGTCGCGCGCGATGCGGGCGTACGTCGGTGACGTCGACGCGCGTGGACGCCCGCACGGCCGCGGACGGGCGACGTACGAAGACGGGAGCGCGTACGAGGGTGAATTCGAACGCGGGGCGCGACACGGACGCGGGCGAATGACGCTCGGCGTGGATTCGGAGAGCGATTTGAGCGACGACGACGTCGAGGGACGTGGACGCGGTGGAGGGTATCACGATGGGACGTGGGCGCGCGACGCACCGTTCGGTGCGGGGACGCAGGTGTCGGCGAATGGGTGCGCGTTGCGCGGATGGTTCGACGGATGGCGGACGACGGGGGAGTGTCGAACGACGCGCGACGACGGGGAGACGCTGGCGTACGTGGGTGAATTGAGCGCCGTTACCGGTTGGTATCACGGGATTGGGACCGCGTACGATGCGATCGGGGGGTGGGAAGTGAGCGCGGAGCGCGCGGAGGGCGAGCTCGCGTCTTCGACGGCGTGCGCGTACGGATACGGACGCGCCGAGGACGGTGCAGAAATCGTGCTCGCGTGGACGCGCGCGAACGTTCGTGGGATTCGAACGCGACGCCAAAACATAGGGGACATCGCGAGCGAGCGCGCGATCGTGGTGCGATTGAGTGAGGGGCGACGATTGAATCCGCGCGAGTTGGTTAGGAGATTGAACGCGTTGGACGCGCGCGAGCGCGAAGGACTCCGGCGCGCGGTCGAACGAATCGACGGCGTCGAGGTCGTGTGCGAGTGTGGGGGCACGAGCGTGGAGATCGAGCGGTATCTCGAGCGCGCGCGCGTGCGCGTGGGCGACACGGGTGTGTTCGCCACGCGCGCGTTCGAGCCGGGCGAGCTCGTAGCGCACTTCTCAGGGAAAATCGTCTCGATTTCGGGTGATATTTCCACGCTCGACGCCGAGCGCCTCTCGCGCGATGCAGTCATGCTCAGGAGCGATGATGTTGACGATTATGACGTCGTTGAGCAACACGACGAGGATGATCCTTACGCGCGCTCGCACGGCGTTCGCGCAATGGAACTCGAGCGTGAACATCCGAGCGCCTCGCTCGCGGCTAATTTCGCGCGCATCGAGACCAAGGTCGAAACAAACTGCGAGCGCGTATACGTTGAAGATCACCCTTTACTAGGAGAGACGGTGTTTTTGCGCGCTAAGCGTCGCATCTGTGAGGGAGAGGAGTGCACGGTGGCGCCAGATTACTTCTTCGGGTGGTGCCTAGATCCAAAGAGTGAAGCTGGATACTACGAAAACATGCGTTGTCGTCCACCGCGCGTGACGTTTCAGCGACAAGGCGACGAGCCGGAGCTCGGTCGCGTGTCCGTCAAGCAACATGGGCGATGGCGAGCGATTTATCTTGACAAGGTTGAGCAAGGACTCTCGTACCTCACGCGAACAGGAAAACCAGAGGCGATGCCAGATGTGCTCGGATTTCAGTACATCCGCGTCATGGCGCGGGAGACGATGAACCGGCTATCAACTCGACGTCGCACCGGTACTCGTGCGCTCGTCGTCGCCGTCGGCCTTGGTTCGGGTGCCTTGCCGTTATACGTGGCGAACCATTCATCGGCACGAGACGTCCGCATTCTCACGCTCGAGCGTAGTCAAACGGTTATCGACGCGTGTTCGACGGCCATGTTCGTTCCATTGCACCAAACGTTGTCCACAAAGGCCTCGGCGTCGAGTCCATTGCGCAAATCAATGCGTGCGCGTCCGATCGAAGTGTTGCGATGCGACGCGTTTGATTTCTTCGGCGAGGCTGCACGTGCGCATCCGTCGGTCAACGCGGTTCTCCTGGACGCCTACGACGGAAAAGGACGAATTCCAGTGCATATTCGAAGCGTCGATTTCATACGTGATCTCGGCCGCACCCTTGTTCGCGGTGGATTCTGCGTGTGCAACTGTTGGGACGGCAAAGCCGGCTCACGCGCCGCGCGCGAGCTCGCAACGTTTGAGGAACTACTCGCCCGTCACGTTGGCCTCGTGCATCGCGTCATCGTCGAGGGGCAAGAACACAACGTCGTTCTCGTCGCTACTCGAACTTCTCGAGCATAGCTCGCTGTTGTAATGCAGCTTAGCCCATCGTAGCCCCAACCGGTGAACGCCGCGAACGCCAAAGGCCTACGCGGCGCGCGCGGCACTCGTCGACGCTCGACACCGCGGTCGACGATCCGTGCACAACGCGATCGACGCCCACTAAACTTGCGCGCGCGTTCGCGCGTCGCATGGACGCCTTCGTCGTGCGCACCAAGCGCCCGGCCGAGCGTTCGCCCACAAAGGTGAAGAGTCAGAATCACACCCAATCGACGCAAAGCGAGAGCAAGAGCGCGCGAAGCGATCGCCCGACGTGGAAGACGGTCGATGCGTCGCTTTTAGTCCACGATGATTCAAGATGCGCGCCGTCGACGAAGATCGCGGCGTTCGATCTGGACGAGACGCTGGAGCGGACGAAGAGCGGACGGAAGGCGTACGCGGCGACGGCGGACGACTTTAAACCGCTGAACGAACACGTAGGAAGGGTTTTGAGGGCGTTACACGAGAGTGGGTACAAGATATGTATTTTTAGTAATCAAGGGGCGGTGAAGAGCGCGCTGGAGGGATCGAGGGCGACGACGGTGCGGATCCGGTTGGAGCGGCTCACGGAGACGCTCGATGTGCCGTTTCAGGCGTTTTGCGCGACGCAGATTAATAAAGAGGGCAAGGTGAACGATCCGCACAATTATCGCAAGGGTGGAGACGGGATGTGGAGGCGTATGGTGCGCTTACACAACGGAGGGGTCGAGCCGGATCTCGCCGAGTGCTTTTACGTCGGCGATGCCGCCGGCCGTGCGGGGGATCACAGCGATGTCGACTCAGTCTTCGCCAAAACTGTGGGGATCAAATTTTACACTCCTGAGGATATCTTCGTCGAAGGCGAAGCGTGGAAAACGTCGTGAGCGATGCATATTACGTGATATGTTCGAATGAGACAAAAATTGATTGATGTTTATTGACAACAACCGTCTAATCGATGCTTTTCTTTATTCAGCGGTCTCAGCCGGCGCGCTTTCACCTTCGCCGCGCCCACGCCCGCGTCCGCCGCGGCCACCGCGACCGCGACCGCGACCTCGTCCGCCGCGGCCGTACGGAGAGTACGGCATCATCATCATCATCATCGGCGCACCTCGACCACCGAATCTGCCGCGTCCACGTCCACCGCGACCGCCGCGACCGCCGGCTTTCATCCCCGGTACGTTCGTGCGCTTGGCGGAAACCTTAATCTTCCGTCCGCGAAGCTCCGAACCGTCGAGCAAGATCGCATTGTGCACTGCGTCCGGTTCCAAAAACTCCACGTACGCGAAACCCTTCGGATTATCGAACTTGTCGTGCAGAATGGTCACGCGGTTCACCGTCCCGCAGCTCGCGAAAAGTTTTGCCAAATCCTCCGGCGTCGACGCGTAATCAACCTGTCCGACGAACACACTTCGCGCGTCCGCCTCCTGCTTCTTCACAGCGTCTTCTTCCGCGTTTGCCCCAGCGTTTTCACTCGCCATGGCGTCGTCCACCTTTTCGTGCTCATCCTTGAGCTTCTCCGCCTCCTCCTCCATCTCTCTGAGCCGTCTTTGCATCGCCTCGATCTCCGGGTCCACGTCCGCGGTCTGTGCGTCGAGAGAAACGTTCAGAGGTCAGTCATTCGGTCAGTTGCTTCGCAAAGAGGCGATCTGCGCCTCGCTTCACGTTGACGTTTGATAAAGTCGTCGTGCGAGAGAGAATTCACGAAGCGAGTGGCGATCTCGAACGAATCCTATCAATGGATCGATTCATTTGGTTACGCTCGCGTTCGGTGCGCAAAACGCGTCTCTATACGTAAAGCGACGTACCTCCATGTCCATTTCGTCCGCGTCTTGCTTCTTGCGCGTCGCTGGCATGATTATAGCGATGTTCGACGCGTCAGTGACTGCGGGGGCATCTGCGTTCTTGTTTATTGAAAAGCGTCAGACGTCTATGACGTCGTTAGGGTCGATGTCGAACACTTCGTCGTACGTGTTCCCGGATCCCTTCGCACCACTCGACGTGCCGATTTGAAACACGCGTCCAGCGTCGTCTCGTGCGCTCACGACGGTATTTTCGCCGTCGGACTCGGCTTGCACAAACGCCCGCCGACCGGTGCGCCGACTCTGCACCGCAAACCCGATGACGATTTTCGACGTCTTCTTTCCGTTCACGACGCTCGAACTCGAGCTTTGGGACATCACAGGTCCGCACTCTATTTCACCCCCGAGCGCGTTCTCCAGCTCGCGATCGAGTTTGATCGCGCGAACCGCGTCGTCGTACGCCTCGGCGCTCGCCTCGCCCGCCGCGGCCATCTGTTCCCGCAGCGACCCCGCGACCTTGTTCACCATCGCCCCCATGACTTTCCCGCCCAATCCCTTTCCAAAGATCGCTTCCGTCATCTGGCGCGTCGACGCCTCGACCTCGTCTCGACGCGCGCGTTCGACGGACGTTCCCTTCTTGGCGAATGGATTGAGCTTCTTCAGTGAATTCAAGAATCCCGCGTCGTTCTCCCCACTCTTCGCGTTCACGGTCGCGTGCGATCCGCGACGACGTCGATGGCACCTCACGCCGCGCGCGCATCGCGTGTTAACCGTCGGCGAGGTCGTGATCGTCGTCGAGAACATGACTCCAGAGCTCAACCGTCCGCAAAGTGACGTCGAGCCCGCACACGCATGCGCGCGTCGTGTCGCCTCAGTTCGCGCTTCCGCGCTCGGACGATCGCGAGCGCACGACGGACGTCTGGAGTGGCGCAAACGCGGTGTTCGTCGCGAGATACGAACGTGAACGCGATGGAAGTGCACAGATTCAACGCGCTGAGGGACAATTATGGATTCGCGATTCGTTGCGCCGAGACGGGAGAGACGGCGATCGTGGACGCGCCGAGCGTCGCGGACGTCGTTCGTGCGTTTAAGAGCGAGATTCCGACGTGGCGGGCGCCGTCGACGATTTTGGTGACGCACTGGCACGACGACCACGCGGGCGGGTGCGACGGCTTGCGAGACGCGTTCGGGTCGGTATCGGATATCAAAGTCATCGCTCCGAAGCGGGAGATGGGGAAGATCAGTGCGAGAGTCGATCGATGGGTAAGCGATGGCGATGTGGTATCAGTGGGTGATCTTCGAGCAACGGTTTTGGAGACTCCGGGACACACGCTCGGCCACGCGATATATCACTTTGCGGATGACGGGCACGTCTTCGTCGGCGACACGCTCTTCGCGCTCGGGTGTGGGAGATTGTTCGAGGGTACACCGGAGCAGATGTGGTCCAGTGTGTCGAAAATACTTGCGATGTCGGACGAGACCAAGGTGTGGTGCGCGCACGAGTACACGCAAGCAAATGCAAAGTTTGCATTGAGCGTGGATCCGGAGAACGCGGCACTCGTCGCTCGGGCGAAGGAGATCGCGGCACAGCGCGAGCGCGGCGAGTCCACTATTCCAACCACGGTGGGTGACGAGCGTCGAACGAATCCGTTCTGTCGTCCCGACAGCGAGGACGTGCAAAGAGGTGTGAACATGCTGAGAGGCGCTAACCTCGCTTCGGTGTTCGGTGCCATACGCGCAGCCAAAGATAAATTTTAGCAACTGCAATTCCAAGAATTCGTTGAGGGTACTGTTACAATTTAGTCACTTTAAGACGACGGCTTGTAGAAGCCGCTCGTTTCGGTAATTTTTGCACTCGAAGAAAGCGTCGCCGTCAAGGCGGAGATGGCATCACTGTTCATCAATCCGGCCTCAACGAACGCGTTTTCAACCTTTGCGATGAGTACTCTGTTACTACCGCACACGTCAAGAAGAAGCGTACGTCTCGGTGGGATATCTATGTCTTGACCACGTTTTCCGTACACGAAACCGTTGCCGAACGGTGTCTTGTGAGCGCCGACAGACGTGCATGCAAACGACGGACGGCGCTTGATCGTCAAAGGCGTGTGCATGAGCGCGCGAAGCACGACCGATGTATTCGGTCTATTCAGGATGCGTTGCAGCGTCTCGACAGCCATATCCGCACCCTGGCCAGGAGAGAGAATAACATGCGCGAGAGCGTGAATGGCGAGCGCCGCGGTGATCGGTGGCGAGCTTTTCCCTTCAGTCGGGTATGTCTCACCGGCCCATCCGCTCAGCGCCTTATCGAGAGAGCCTGACTCGATGCTCTTGATGTAAATTTCGCGCATCGTCGGGTCCGGTTCGCCACCTGGAGGGAAGAAGACGTACGCCGCCGCAGGAGGTACCATTGCGTTTGTGCACGGCATGAGATGAAGCGCCATGCCTTCGCTCAACGCGATCCAAGCAGCCGCACGCGCTTTCGGCGAGACACGGACGCGGAGCCACATCGCACAGTGTCTTGCAAACAGTACATCACCGAAGCTTTCAGCCGCAAACGCATTCACAATGGCCGCAGCTGCGGCTGCATCGCCTGTACCTCGCGCTTCACTCAGCGGATCGTTCAAGCCGCCAACGCCTTCCGACGCAAACGACCCGAGGTCCATACTGTATCCTCGGACGCCTTGATGATACGATTGAATGTAGTTCTTCACCATGCGGCGCCAGTACAAGTCTGTGAGCAGCCCGAGCGGGGCGCTCACGGCAGGGTCTCGCCACACGTTTGGTCCTTGCGTGTACACCGCGCCGATAGCGCTCATCTTCAATGCGGGTCGAATCGCGCGCACTCGTGGGACCTTCGCGAGCTCCATACCCATCAAAAGGGACAGAGAGCAGGCGACGCCAGCGGTACCCCAGCCCTGGATAGTCGTTCGAGGAGAACACGGCGCCAGATACCATAGCGGATGTGCCGGCAGCAGTGATCCCACCGGGACGCACGCACCCGGCGAAGACATTGCCTTGGCCTCCGCAGGCGTGGTCATTTCCATAGCAAATCCTCCCAAGAGAGCTTCGCGAGTGATTTCAGCCGGTGGTACGAGTGCCACCGACGCCGCAGCGAGGACCACACCCGTTTCTCGAATCGCGAGTCGTTGTCTTTCGTCTTCATCGGAGTTCTGTATGACTGACTCGGCGTCGGCAAGAGCGTTTTTCGTCTTGCGAAGCAGTGGTGCTAAGACTCTGACCGAGTAAATCCCTGCGCTAAGAGCCTGCGAAGCTATCACACCTGATCCGGGAGGTAAAGATGCGATGAGTCCTAGAGCGGCATCTACTGTCGCAGCCACGTCACACTGCAAGTCGGTCTTGTCCTCGCCTCCAGACATTCTGGATGGACTTCCGAGCCTGGATGGACTTTGAGATTTTCCGCCTGCTGAAGCGCTGCACTGCAAGAAGGCCTTGTCCAATATTTCCATGGCAACAACGACGGCACGCTGTAGCGCGAGCTTTGAAGCAGCAACGATGGGTTGCTTACCCATCCAAGTAGTCGGAGTTTCATCTTCATTGAAATCACCCGTTGGAAGGCCTATTTCGGACACCGAACGACGACGCTCGGATGTCAAGTCAAAAGAAAAGCGTACGTCGCCACTAGAGCGACGAATTGAATCGTCGACACTACTTCTTTTGCGTGGGTTCGGTCTACCGCGCATCGTCCCGAACTTTTTCACGATATGTGACGCCAACGTTGTTACGCCTTGTTCAGCCCAAACATTGGGCGAGACAATTGTGAGGAGAAGAATGCTGTGCAGGACCGAACCCCACGCAGACAGCTGAATATTCGATTCACTGAAATCCGTAGAAGCGGTACATTCCATGGTGAGCAAATCGAGCTGCGATAACGCGTCGCCCAGAACGCCCGAAGGCGACATGGCGCCTGAAACGCTGTTGGGAGATCCGAGGACTCGAGATACAAGGGCTTGAGCGTCGTTCGGCGATCGCGCAATGAGCGCGGCGATGAAACGTCCTGCATTTGCAATCGTGTAGAGATGCTCGTTATCCCTCTCTTTTGACAGAATCCAAGCTTCAGCACACTTTGCCGCAGCCGTCGCGCATCTCCAGGACAGCGTCTTCTCCGTGTCGACGATTTCCATCTCTGCAGGCGGACCGGCGTCGTCGGCGCCACCCTCAAGCGGAAGAGACTTCGACAGTGTCGTCAACAGTGCGAAAACATCAATTGCGAGCACATTGTCGACGGAGGAAATTTCCATCCACGGCGCAATCAGAGGGTGTACTGCGTCAAACGCAGGCGTGTTTAGTCCCCATCCCGAAATACTCGCCCAGAGGCGGAGTGTTTCTCTCCAAATAATCGCCGCGTGCCCGCGAGGACGCTCCTTCTGGTTGCCTTTGGTGTCCGTACTGACACCACCGAACGTGATGGCTGCTTGAATTGCGCTCTTAAGCACCCCTTCTTTGACGAGATCCTTCGCAATTTCCGCGTCAGTTTGCGAAATCAACCTCAAAACGCGAACGACGTGTGCCAGACCAATCGTCGGTGGCTCTGTGGGAGAGCCTTGTGAAGACCCGGAGCACGAATCTTTGATTCGCGCGATGAGAGTCGGTACAAGGCGCGGGCATCGAGTCACCGCCGCTGCCGCGGCTTTACTGTGTCGCGCAAAGGTGGCGAGCAACTCAAGTGCGAGCACCTCTGCCTGAGGCGTTCGCTCCATCTCGAGTAGATATCTCATGCGCTGCAAGATACCCATGCGCAGAAGAGCCGCGACGGGATCTGCCGCTTGCTCCGTCGCCTGTCGCCTTTCCATCATCTTTTGATTGAGTCCCTCTTCAACTTGGTCCGGTTCCTCCGCGAGCTCGACTGTGGAATCCTCTGTGAGCCGAATCTCCTCCACCGCGTACTCCCACGCGATGGGTTGGAAACCAGAGCCACCGCACGGAGCGCTGTCGGGTTCAGACCTCCACAGCGGTGCCAGATAAATGAGATCGCTAGGATCGATCGGTGCGAAACTTTCGATCGCATCGACGAGTTGAGCTTCTAATCCGTCTGAACCGCCGACGCCAATACCTCCGCACAGTGCGTGAATCGCCGAAAGAGCCGCGACGTTTGCTTGCATGTGTGTGTCGTCCAATGCTCGCCTAAGGAGCGTGATTATGGCGCAATCGACGGTAATATACACCCACACACTCGCCCACGTGACGCCGTTGGGCAGTCTTGGCGCACCATTGACGTCCATAGCGTCTTCGTCTGGCGGTAAAGGATCTGCCGCCTCGAAACTCCATAATCTCGCGAGACGCGTAATCTTACCGATAATCTGCAAACCCATCACGCGCTGCGTGTTCACGCTACTACGAGTGAGCGCGCACGCCTCCTGAACCGTGTAACCGATGTCTACTCCCTCACCCGCGCGTAAGGGATCGCGTTCCGTAGGCAACGGCGTCGGCGTCGAATCGTCCAGCGCCGAGGTCAAGACGTCCATCGACGCGCTCAAAAGAGGCTTGCCGTCCAGGGCGAATCTCACGTGCTCGACACCAACCGTAGTGACCGCTTTCGTCCGAGCTGACGCCTCCGCGGCGGCGTCACTTCGCTCTCTCGCCCGTTTCGGCGCCCCTTTCGCCTGCGCGACTGCTCCCTTTGACTCAGCCTTATTGACCCCACGATTACGCAAAAACTCCAGCGTCTTCGCGCTCAATCTCCCCGCGAGCTCATCTTGCGCGTCTTTTATCGCCGCCGGCGACATCACCGACAGAATGCGCTCGTTCTCCTCGTTGATGCTCGCGTCTTCCTTCTCCGGGTCCGCTCTCGCGCGCGCCGTCGGCGCCCGTCCCGCCGGCTCATCTCCCCCCCCCCCGGACGCCTCCGCCCCCCCCGCCCGCATCGCCGCCTTTCTCGCCGCGAACCGACTCGTCTTCCGTCCAAAATTCGTCTCACTTCGATGTTTCACCTCTGGAAATCCCGTCTTCGCGCTCTCTCGCCTCCGCTCCGCGACGCGCGCATCCGCCGCCGCGTCCCCCGCGTCCCGCCCCCCCACCGCGCGCTCCACGACGTCTCGCATCACCGTCGACGACACCGCGCCCACGTCTCTCGTCGTCGTCGCCGTCGTCGTCGCCGTCGCGTCGTCGCGCGCGTCCAAAGTCGCGCGCATCGCATCGCCCGCGTCGGCGTCGTCGCCGTCATCGTCCGTCGCCGATCGCGGGGCGCGTCGAACCACGCGCGCGCTCGGGGCCTCACCGCGGGCGAGGAACTCGCGCTCGAGCGCGCGGAGGGCGTCGAGATCGTCCGCCATGGCGCGGCGCGGCGTCGTCGCGCGATGGCGCGCGCGTCGACGCGCGATCGCGTGTTGGCCGACGTGATTGGCGTATATCCATGTCGAGTACGAGGGTATCGGTCGTATCGTGGCGGGTATACCGCTGTGTATACGCGAACGCAGTGCGTCGGCGTCCGCGATGGACGTATACATGGACAGAGTATGTATATGTATAGCGTACTATGGATATTTTAGGTTCTATGTGTGCACCGACGCGACGCCGAACGCGCGACGACGACGCCGACGCCGACGCCGTCGACGGCGGACGCGGGAGACGCGCGCGAGGGCGTCGGGGCGAGCGTTCGCGCGCGCGCGCGCCGCGGCGTCGACCGAGACGGCGCGCGAGACGGCGCGCGGTGGAGGGAACGACGCGCGCGACGACGCATGCCGTTCGTGCTCGAGCGCGCGGGAACGCGCCGCTCGGAGGCGACGCGCGCGCGCGCGCGGTGTCAGAGATGTCTGCGCGGAGGGGTGTGGACGTACGAGTGCGGGTGCGACGGACGGTACGTCTCGAGGGCGTCGGCGAGCGAGAGGATGAGAGACCCGAGGAAGAGACAAAAGTTTGCGGATGAATTGTTTCGAAACGAAGTCGTTCCGGATGGAGGGGCGTTCGAGGGAGGTGAGGTGGACGATGAGAGATTGCGGCGAGCGCTGGACGCGGACGGGCGAAAGCGTGGGCGGGGGCGGAGGTCGAGTTTGGAGAGTTCGGAGAGCGACGACGACGCGTCGTCGTCGTCGTCGTCGGGCTCGTCGGGCTCGTCGTCGTCGTCGTCGGGATCGTCGTCGTCGTCGGGATCGTCGTCGTCGTCGGGCTCGTCGTCGTCGTCGTCGTCGGGATCGTCGTCGTCTTCGTCGGGATCGTCGTCGTCATCGTCGTACTCAGGGTCGAGCTCAATCTCGAGTTCGTCTTCGCGTCGAAAACGGCGTCGATCGAAAGAGCGTCGACGTCGGTACGATGGGTATCGGTAGAAGCGATTCGTTTGTAGAAAGGATTCTTTGGTAAACAACTATCGCTATGTTTGCTATGTGTCAATACTCTATAGGTCGTCGAAAATTTTGCGCACGGTGACGATGACTTCGTCGTCGTCGACCTCGTTCCAGCGCGCGGTCGTCCCGGAGTTGATGCGCCGAGCAAAGTCGTCATCGAGCGCCATGCGGAGGTACTTGAATAACACCGCCACCGGAGCGTCGCACTTAAATCTGATCCAGTTATCCATCAATACACGAGCGTTTGCGTGCTCCACCTCGAGATTCCCTCCGAAGAGGAGGAGCGCCTCTGGTGCGACAACGGAGCAGTCGCGCAAATACACGCGCGCAGTGCGCATTTTTTCGTGGTACACCATGAATGGATGCGACGGCTTACGATCCGAACCGATTCCCCGATTCACACTTGAAGGATGCACGCGCACCTCAGACGTCGCATCTTTCCACGTGTAATCGCCGTAATCATGCTCCGATGAATCAGAACCCACGGCGACATTGGCGTACAGGCCCGCCGTCAGGACGGCTTTGATCATCTGTGGACGCCTCGCATCTTTGTTCCAAACCTGCGCGCGCGAAAAGATGCAGAAGGTTAGAATTTTCATTCGCGTATCGCGTCCATGATAAAATGTAACAGAGCTGCTGGGACGCTAGCGAATGCCGCGTCGCCGTGTCGAAAAGCTCAGCCGTCGATGTACGGAAATAACTTTACGCGCGCGCTGGTAGCTGCATGCGTGCACGCCCGGGACGTCACGGAGTGTAGCCGTGCCGCCCATTTCCGAGTCAAGCAAGTTTGCGCGATGTGTTTCTTACCGCTTTCGGATCATCCAACCAACTTGTATTTTTCCCTCGAAGAGAAAAGCCAGCGGGCACCTTCATGATGCCCATGTCGGCGAGGAGAGCGGCGTACTGCGTCCGCATCTCTGCAATTTGTCTCATCGTATCCATGTCGAGCGCATTCTTTTGCGCGAAACGTCGTGCCGCGTTGCGGCCTTCCATGCTCGCCGTAATGTAACCATCATACGCCGCCGCGAAAACGATGTGGTCACTTTGCTGTCCAGCGGCGAGCGAGTCCGACGCTGGCTGCGCGAACGCTCGCATCGCGGCTTCGACTTGGCTATTCGATGCCTTCGAAGACTGGAACGGAGATTTATAGCTCAGAGTCGCCGCGATGGTCAGGATTGGGGAGAGACATCTGAGAATGACTCCGAAGAGGAGCATTTTCGCCACTCTCGCATCCACCGGCAACGCAGCGAGATGTCGTCCTAGAGCTGTCAATCTGCCAAGCTCATCGAAAGCACCGATTTCTGAAAGGGTTTTTTTCGCAGCTGCGATAGCTTCCTCCTTAGGGGGTTCCGGGGCGTTACCGAGAACGACGGCTGCGTCGTTGTGCAAATCCAGACTGGCAATTTGCAACACGACTTCCGTGAGTGGCGCGCGATGCATTTCCGGGATTTGGAACGGTCGCATCGAGACGTTCGCGCGATGTGATGTAAACAGTGCGTAGCACATGCCGGCTCGAACCCGACCTGCGCGTCCGGCGCGCTGCTTCGCCGCGGCGCGACTGACCCATCCTTCCTCCAGCGAAGCCATGCCTCTTCTCGGGTCCCACTGTCGCTCCTTGACGCGCCCCGTGTCGATCACGACGACTATGTCCTCGATGGTCACCGACGTTTCGGCCACGTTCGTGGCTACGACGATTTTACGAACGCCCGTTCTTGGGACTCTAAAAGCCTCGCGCTGTTCAGCGTTCGTCAACGCAGAGTGCAACGGTGTAAGCACCGCATCCTTGAATCTCGGTGAGCCTGCGAGTCGATCCACCAGACTGGTGACTTCTCCTATACCCGGTAAGAATACTAGTATAGCGCCGTGATCGGTTGTTTCGTCGACATACGCGAGCAGTTCTTCGATTAAGTCGTAATCGATTACCGATTCGTCCAGACGCGACAGCGATAATCGCGTCTTGCGTTTGCAGTGCTCATACTTGCTTGGCTCGTAGTCAGGATTCTCTGGATTTTCTTCCCCACCGAATTCTGATGCCGCATCCTCACCCCACGACGCGAGGAGATCATTTTGTCGACGCCTGTCTCCACCGCCTCCAGCCTTGATGGCTTTCATCGTCTGGTCAGCCTTGCCCTTCGGCCGCCGGCACGAACGATTGTCGGGATCGATGACGTAGTCCAAAGTGTCGTAAATTTGTTCGAGATGAATAGTGTCAACCGGAAACGATCGTCCCGGCGCTGAAATGATAGGTGCGCCGCCGAGGTAGGCACTGAACAACTCCGCGTTCAGCGTTGCGGACATTAAAACCAGTTTGACTGGTTGTAAGCCCGCTTCGCGACGACGCCTCGGAAGATCTCTGAGTAGCGTAAGCAGAAAGTCACCGTCGAGCGAGCGTTCGTGCACTTCGTCCACGACAACGTGCGTGACATCCGAGAGCATTCTGTCTCCTTGCAGGCGCCTCAGCAAGATACCAGTGGTGCAAAAAGTCAGACGAGTTGAGTTCGTAATTTTTGCATCCAATCGAACATGATGACCCACAAGCGATCCGGCGCCTCCCACGCCATTTTTTTCACACCTCTCAATGGACACGCGCTCCGCGATGCTCGTCGCCGCAACGCGACGAGGTTGCGTGCAAACGATGTTGCAGCCACCACCGTGGCCCCGCTCGATGGCGTCGTCCAGTAAGAACTGTGGCACTTGCGTCGTTTTACCGCAGCCCGTCTCACCACAAACAACAATCGCGTCATTTGAACGTAACTGGACCAAAAGGTCGTGAGCCAGGGCGCAGATGGGAAGTTTAGATCGCTTTTCGAACATTTTCTTCCATTGCGAATCTTCTTTAATAGCCGTGAGCTGCGACTTGAGTCTCTCGCTAAGCTCGGCGTGATGGACGTTCAACTTGCTAACAAAGCCGCGGTCTTCCCTTGATTTCGACTCGCGGTCTCGATCCGTTGAGTCTCTGTCGAAAATGCCTCGTCTATCACCGCGTTCCGATTCCGAAGCTGCGGACTCGATCACTTTCATCAAAGAATTGATGAAATCATCCTGAGCAGCCTCGTTGGATTTCGCCATGTCGGACGTGAGGTACTCAATCGCCCAGCGCGTCCACAACTCTTGATTTTCGGGCGAGAGTTCCTTGGGCACGATCTTGTTGTCTTCGCTAAACGCCGCCTCAAACAGCGCACGAAGAGCCGATCCGTTTTGAGCGTCGTTGATGCTCGCCCAACCCGATCCGCTCGGCTCATCCTCAGCGCGCGTCGAGCATTCAAGCGTCGGTTTGCGCTTGTACTTTGGCCCAGAGGAGCGTTCCACTGTGACGACGTAACGAATACCGTCCGCCTTCTTATCACGCTCAAAACGGGGCACTAACCACCCCTCACGTTTCGCCAACAGCGTGAGCATGTTCTTTGGCGTCATCTCTTCCACCTTGTCAGCCTTGCTCGTCTTTTTCGAGCTTGCTCCGCCTTTCGTTTGCGCAGTCGGCTCGCGTTTGCCGTCGCTAAACAACAATTCGCACCTCAACTGCTTTACGAGCGTCTCGATGAGATCCTCTTCACCATCGCCGATGACTTCTTCCGCACCGTCTCCGAACACGTCGAAAGCGAATCCTTCGTCGTCTGAATCGTCATTTGCATTACTCGTCGATTCGGCACTTTGTGCGCGCAGAGGCTCCGGTGCAGCCTCTGATGTGGACGTCGTCGGTATCGAACGCACACCATCCTCACACTCGGCACCACCATTGACATTATTCTCTGACTTCTTCTCGGTAAACTCCTTCGGTGGATCGATCTCTTCGTCTTTCATTCCAAGCTCTGTTGCCATGAGCTTCAGCCTGCGAATGGACTCGGCGACATCCTTCTGTTCCTTCTTATTCTTGCACCTCTTCGCCTCGATCGCGCGCGCCTTGAGCTCGGCGAGCTCGGCGACAAACTCTGTGGTCACTCTTTGCGGATTTTTCGCGTAGTCCCTCCGCTTATTCCACATCATGCGCTTCGTCGCCGCCTCCTCTTCGCTTAGGCCAAAATCCTCCAGCGAATCGTAACCATCATCGCTCTCCGAGTCGCTCTCTTCGTACTCGGCGTATCGCGCGATCCAAGATTTATCCACGCCGATATCGTCGAGCGCTATCTCACTCTGCTTCTTGCCGTCCACCCGTTTCATCCCCTCGTTCACCGCCTCGATGTCCCGCCTCGCCACCGCCGGCGCGTCCGCTCTCGCCGCCGTCGCTTCCACGACTTCGCCGCCGTCTAATCTATGCTCCGCCCGTTCCTCCGTCCGCAACGCGCGCGGTAAGCGAGCGTTCGAAACGTTCAGACACAACCAATCCAGGACGTCTTCGTCGCATAGCGCTCCTCGCGACGCGGCCGCGACCGCCAGCGCGCCTCGTTCTGCGTCGTCTCGTCTGAACCCGAGCCTCGCGAGCGCGTCCATCGTTCGTCGCGCGCTCGTTTCCGTCGCCGGCGGTGCCGTTCGCGCGCGCGTGGGCGTTAAGACGTCCCGCTTTGTGAGCAACGCTCGAGCCAGAGCCTCAGCGCGCGCCGAGAGACGCACTCGAGACGTTTCGGGTTGTTTCGTCGAGCCGGACATTTCGAGCTCGCACGTCGCGTCGCGACGGTGGTCAACGTCGCGACGGGGGTCAAACGGATCGAGTGCGAATAAATTTTGATCCCGCGACGTGTCGTGGTTTTCGACCACGTGGCGGCGAGTGCAGCGTGTGAAGACGCGCGGTGACTTTTTACACGTCAGAGACGGCACGGTGCTCAGAACACGTCGTCGTCATCGTCGTCGTCCGATCCCGTGTGTGTGAATGTGTGCGCCAGGAGGGCGAAACCACCGAGCGGATACTTGGTGTGATCGCCTCTACGGCTCGCGGCGTGCGCGTCCATCTCTTCCTCGGTCATGCGTAAGCCCACGATGGAGTGCACGTCGAGTCTGAACGGGCCATCGTTTTCGCGGCGTTCCTCTAAGTTTTCCGACGCGCTTCCGGCGACGGCGATCGCCAGGCGCACGACACGGCTTGCGCTCATCCTGCTGTGCTCGCCAACCATGGCTCGACCTCGAAAGGTTTGCGTGAAGGCTTCGATTGGAATGACGATGTCGACCCACTCGTTTGGCGGCGGATGAAACGTCGCAAGCCACGCGTCCTCGCTTGTAGTTTCCGTCATCCAGTTCTCCGTCACCACACTCGCGACGTAGCTTCGCCCATCTCCTCGAACGCGATAACTCAGCGCGTCGTACGCGTCCAAATCGAGCGTGGGATCTGGAACGAAGAGCGTTGGTTGCAGCGCGAGCATCCGCGCGCCGGCGAACCCGCTCCTGCGTAAACGTGTCGTCGACGGCCCATCGCCGCCGTGGCCGGGAATCTCGCTCGAGATCGTCCCTCTTATCGTGCTAAACCTCTCCGCGATAAATCGCGCGTCCACCTGGCCTTCGCTCTCGTCTGTTTCCTCCGCGTCGTCGCCCGGTACTAGAACGCACGTCGACGCGCCGCCGTGTTCGAAATCCCCGAACGTCGTCCATCGCTCGCGATCGCTCTTCGTCGCGAACGCGGAGACAACGGTGGCGACGCGTCCGCTCGGCGAGGCGCTCCACCACGGCGCAGGCTCGGACGTCGACGTGAACGAACGAACACGTGAAGTTGTTGCTGAAGACTGCACGGCGTTCGAATCTTTCGCTCGCGAGGCGACGCTCGCGCGCGCGAGGACGCGCGAGAGAGATCGGAGCGCGCGTGACATTGCGCTCGGTCGATTCCTGGTGAGTGGTGCGTCGCGATGCGGCGCGGTGTGACGAAGCCGTGGCGAAGTGAGCTCGGCGGAGAAGTGGTTGTCATTGAAAAGTGTCTAGGTCGCGATCGATCATCCGCCTATCGCCTCTTCCCGGCCAGGGCGTTGTTCATCAACATTCGAGCGGACTCCATCGCGGACTCGTCACCTCGCACGCGAAGGAGAGAGTTACCGCTTGCCCCCTTGGTTTCGTCGATGGAAACCATGGCTTTGCTTCGATCCTGCACCTCCTTGATCGTGGCACCCTTTGCACCGATGAGCTTCCCCACGATAATTTTTGGGATCTCCAACTCGACGCACGGACCCTTGGCGCCCTTGGGGAGGGCCGGGACTTTAATGGACTTGAACTGCCCGCCAGTGTACTGCCATCCGTAGACGCCTTCGCCGGTGAGCTTGACGCCCGACACCTTGGCCGCGAGCTCGAGCGCGACTCTCTCTTCCGCCGCTTTCTTCGCGTCCTCTTCGGCTTGTTTGGCGAGTTCAATCTTAAGAAGGCGATCTGCCTCGACTTTTTCGGCCTCAGCGCGTTGTTCGTCTGTCATGGCGTACAGAAAACCAGCCGGCTTCTTGCCCTTCTTGCGAGCGAGAATGGCCATCTCGTCGTCGCTGTCAATATCGCTCTCACCATCGACGTCTTCTTCCTCGTGCATGTGCTTGGCCGCTTCGAGTCTGGCCCTAGCGGCGGCGTCCTGTTCGCGACGCTTTCGCTCAGCCTCTTTCGCCGCCTTTGCCTGCCTCTCTTCCGCGAGTTTTCGCTTGAACTTTTCGCGTTCCTTCTTATTCATCTTCGCCATACGAGCCTCGAGCTCTTCCTCGTTCTCGCTTTCGGTTTCATCGTCAGCTTGTACTTCAGCCTTCGGTTGGGTCTTCGACGCCGGAGCGGCGGCGGCGGGCGCAGGCGCTTCATCTTCTTCATCGTCGTCATCGACCACCTTGGCGAGCTTCTTCTTTTTCCCTGCACTCTTCTTCCCGTTCTTCCGGAGGTACGTGAGAAGCTCCTTGACGAAGTTTGCACTCTTGTCCATCATTTTCCTGACCTTCGGGTCGGCGATGGGGTTTCCTTCGAGTTCGATCTCGCGAACCTTCTTTTCCTTGAGCTCGCCCCACTCGCCTGGAAGATCCTCGATCTTGTTCTGCTTCAGGAAAATCTCCGCCAGAAGCGTGCACTGATGAATATCAGCTGGTGCTTCCTCGATTTGGTTCATGCGCGCCGAAAGAGTGACGATGCGTGACTTGGCCTCGACGTTGAAGTCGTCTAGGGTCGTGAGTTTGTTGTCGTCGGCAACGAGCGTGACCAAATTGTTCGCGTGTTCGAGAGGCGCGAGCGACTTGATCTTGTTGCGAGACACGCGCAGAATCTCTAGATTCTTGCAGTCCGCCAAGCTCTTGGGTAACGCCGTGAGCTTATTGTTCTCCGCCTCGAGAACCTTTAAGTTCTTCAACTTACCCATGCTCTCGGGAAGCTCGATTAAGCCGTTGCCGCTGATGATGAGCGTAAGCAGTCCCGAGAGTCTACTGATGTCTGGCGACAGCTTGACGAACGAGACCCCGAGATTAAGCTTTAAGTTGTTCACACTTTTGACGTAGAACAACGCTGGGTCCACCTCGACGTCTTTCTTATCACGTATGATGGCCACCTCTTTGGCCTGCGACTCCATCGCTTGCGCCGTCTCCGGCCACTTCGGCTCGGGCGCCTTCCCGCCACGCTCGCCATCGTCCGAGTCGTCGCCATCGTCCTCGTCCTGACCCTTACCCTTCCCAATTTTCTTCTCCCCGCGGCGTTCCAGCGCCTCCAACTCCTTCTTCTTGCGCTTACTCCTCTGCGTCGACGTCTCGCCCTCGATTCCGCCCTCATCCTCGCTCGCGCTCTCCTCCTCCTCCTCGCTCGAATCTCCCCCCCGGTCGATCCTTCGCGCCAGCGCGTCGTGTCCAGCCTTTCTCGCGTGATCCGCCGCCGTCATCCCTCTCGCACACTTCATCTTCGCGTTCGCTCCCGCGTACAACAACTCGTCGCACGCCTCTCGATGTCCCTCTCGCGCCGCCATCATGAGCGCCGTCTCCTCATCCCCTTGTCCGTCCACGTAATCGATCGGTTCTCGCATTCGCGCCCGTCGGCAGTTATCCAGGAGCATTTGCAGCGCTTTGTGTTTATTCGATCGAGCGGTGATCATGATCGCGGTGTACCCGTCGTCGTCCCGCGTTCCAGGATTCTGTCCACCGGCGCCCAGACCCCATCGCACGGTGTCGAGCTTTGCGTTGCGACAGGCGGTTAAGAACTGATCGCGCTTGCTCGCCATGGCGCGAGACGTCGAATCGGACGCGCGTGCGCGGTACACGTCGCGACGGGCGGTGGACGGCGGCGGCGGTGAGTGTGGACGCGGGCGGCGGGAGGGATCGGGCCCGGAGGCGCGACGAGACGTCGGCGAAGCGCTGCGCGCGTGTTACAACAAGCACTCCGTGGACGAAGTGCTGGGCGCTACGTTTGAAGTATACAAAACGTGCGATAGCGCGCTCGAGCTCGAGCGCGCGGCGGCGCGGGGTGGGGTGAGTGGGATGGTCATCGAGGCGAAGCGCTCTCGCACGTCGACGTATCCTCGTCGGCGGATCCGGATGAACCGACGAGAGTGCTCAAGAGGATCATCGCCGCGCCCGCGAATCCGCTCTTATCGAGCGTTTCGCCGAGGATGAGGTAGGCGAAAATGGCACCCCATACCGGTTCGGTGGAGTACATGAGCGTGGCCTCTTGCGACGCGAGCAGCGTGAGCGCGACCGTCTCCAAATAGATGCACGCGGCGGTGGTGACGACGCCGACGAGGAGCACCTCGTTCCACGGTATCTCGCTGAGCGAACTCACGTGAGCGACAGCTTCGATGTCACCGTGCGCGGCGATCAAGTCGTATCCCAAAACACTGGCGAAGACGGCGGACACGGTCAACATTTCCATGCACACCAAGCCCATGGACTGCTTGTGCGTGAGCGTGACGCCGTTGAAGATGCAATCCGTTCGGAAGATGTGGACGCCGAAGATGAACGCAGATCCGAGGGTGAAAAGATCACCGATGAGCGTATCTGGCGGAGAAATCGCACTGATGTCCACCACCGAAGTCGCCGCATCCACGAGTCCCGGAAAGGGTACGAGGTCCTCCATGAAGGCCAAGCCGACGACTGCGATGGCGATGGCGGCCCACACCTGAGATCGAATTTGTCTCCCCGCTAGGGCGCCAATGATGGGAACGGCGATCACTGTGAAGGAGCTGATGAAACTTGCCTTGGCTGCGTCCGTGTTCTCGACGCCTAAGTTTTGAAAAAAGTACCCGATTCCCAACCATAACCCGAGCTCAATACCTCCGCGAAATATTTTTTCGTCCTTTATCACAGTCTTGAGGAACGGTGTGAAGACACCGGCTCCAACGGCAAACCTGAGGCACGAGAACACGTCAGATGACATGTGCCCTTGCGCCTCCTTGAGCAGAGTGATGTTCGCCCCGAAACCAGCCATCAGTAAACCGAACAATAGAAACCCGCGAGTGCGCTTGGTCATCCCGCCCGTGGCGTCGCTCATCGTCTTCTCCCAAAGTTCCCACACCGCGATGCGTTTCTCTGCGTTCACCACCTCGCATTCGGGATCTTCCAAGTCACACGTCTCAATCGGGACGAAATCCTCCAAAAACGTCGACGCGATCGCCGCGCTCGCCTGTTTCCTCAGCGCCGCCGCCTCGTGCGATTGGTCGGCGCTCGTCGTCGCCGCCTCCCCCTCCTCCGCCGTTTCGTCCAATAACAGCTCCACGCTTCGCGGCACCACGTCCCCCGGCGGGGCAAATTGTCCTCCCTTCGCCCACACCACGGCGCCACCCCTCGATTTAAACGCCACTCGCCCGCCCGCCGCGTTCGCCCGTCGCCGTCCCGGTCCGCTCGAAATCGTCCGCGCCCGTCCCCCTCGACCCTTCACCCCCCCCCCCACCGCGCCCGAGGCCTCGTTCCCCCGTCTCCATCGTCCACGTCTCCATCGTTCCTCGTTCTCTCGTCTCCGTCCGTCGCGGCGCCGCGCGGGCGCGATACGCGCGGGGATTCGTCGCGCGCGCGATGATTAATCGCGTCGCCGCCGCCGCGGCGTCTCGCGCGCGATCGATCGCCGACGGCATCGCGCGCGCGTGCGAACGCGGGAAATCCGCGGATCCCGCGCGCGCGTGCGCGTCACCGCGGTCGCGTCACCGCGTCGGCGGCGTCGGGGCGTGGCGATGGACGATCGAGCGATGTGTCGACCTCGAGCTCGCGCGAAGCGTCACCCTCGGACCGATGGGAGATTTCAGACACGCGCGCGGACGACGGCGAGGCGGGACGACGGGCGCGAGCGACGCGTCGACCGGTGGTGCGGTGTGGATCGGAGCGATGATGATGGTGTTACCGCGCGTTGAGGACGTCCATGCGGTCTTGCGCGTCGAAGTGCTCGGCGAGCGAGGCCAAGGTGTTGGCGGCGATGACGCCGCTGCCGGCGGCGGCGGGGACGCCCACGCCGGGGGCGACGGAGTCGCCGACGCGGTAGAGGTTGCGGATTCCCGAGACCGCGGGGCCGGGGAACATCGATGGGGCGCGGATGGCGGCGCCGTACGTGCCCTTGTGACGACGGAGCCACGATTTGTGCGTCGCCGGGGAGGCGACGAGCTCTAAGAGGACGCGCGAGCGAATGTCCGGAACGACGCGCTCGAGGGCGACGTAGAGCTTATCGGACGCTTCTTTTTTGCGCGCCTCGTACGCTGGTTTGTCACTCGCCTTGAGTTCCTCCCAACCCTCAAACGGCTCCATCGTGTACGCGTGGACGCAGTGGCATCCCTCGGGAGCCATGTTTGGTTCCCAAACTGTGGCGATGGAAATCATGCACACGTTCCCGGGCTCCGACACCGGTTTGCTCTTGTCCAACACCACGACGTGGTGACCGCCAGTGTGAGAGAAGTCTAAGCCCGCACCGTCGATTCCGAGGTGCAAGTGCATGAAAGATTCGCTGTAAGGCGTCTCCATGGCCGTCTTGAGCTCGGACTCGGGCATCGCGCCTCGAGGCAAGAGCTTGCCGTAGGTGTCCCACACGCTCGCGTTCGACAACACGATCGGGGCACGAATCTCACCCTTGCCGTTCGCCAATTGGACGCCCACCGCGGCACCGTTTTCGACGATGATCTTATCCACGTGCGTTCTCAACCGGACCTCTCCGCCGTTCTTCTCCAAACCTCGTTGCAACGCCTTGGCGATTTCCTCCGCGCCGCCTCGCGGGAACTCGCTCACGCCCAAGTTGTCGCTCGCTCCGAACACAGCGGCGAACTCGGCGGAGACTGTGCCACTCGCATCGACGCCGCTCAGTAAGAAGCACTCGAGATCCGCCAAATATCGCATCCAAGGATCCTTGATGTCTAAAAAGTCTAAGAGCTTCACCGTCGGTTGCGGGAGCACGCCCGAGTACGGCCCAAGACCAGCCATGGCCTTCATGTACCTGCTCCCGATCATCAGCGCCACCTTCCAATCCGCTCTCAACGCCGTAGTCGGTAGTCCGCTGAGCGATTCGTACATCTTACGAATCTTTGGCACGGCTCGCTCGAGCTCCTTGGCGCCTTTGGGCGAAAAGCGTCCCACCTCCGAAACGAGCTTGCCCAGATCTGCGTGCCTTCGAAGACCCGGAGCGTCGGGCTCGATATGAAACGTCCCGAGCGGATCATAACTAACCGTCTCGATCTCCTCACCGAGCAAGCGAAATACCGAAGCGAGCGGATTGAGCGCGTTTGGTTTCGTCAAGCCGGCGAAAAAGCTTGGGCCCGTGTCAAACTTAAACTCACCCCTCTCCGTCTTTCGCGAGAACCCATGCGCGGCACCACCGACGGCGTAGTGTGATTCCACCACGACGACCTACGCTCGACGTTCGTCCGTCGTCAGTCTCTCGCTCGGTGTGCGTCGTCGCTGTATCGTCGCGCCTCGACTCCGTTTCGCGTCTCATCGACTCCTCTCCCGCCCCGCACCTTTCGCCCGTAGTGCGCCAACATCGCCGCCGCGGTGAGCCCACCGATACCACTCCCGATGACCACGACGTCGGGCGCACTCGACGTCGACGTCGCCCGACACCGCGCGCGATGTCCTCGTTTGCGCTGGTTTTGATTATCCATCGCCGCGCATCCGTCGCTTCGCATCGCTCGAGCTCGAGCCCGCGCGCGCGCGCGCGCCGGCGCGCTCGACGACATCGCGCGCGTCGACGTCGTCGACGTCGCGATCCGTCGCGCGTCGACGCCCGCGTCGGCGGCGCCGGCGTCGTCGACGACGCGCGCGGTGACGTCGCGTTCAATTCATAGCGTCCATCACCCCAGGATATGAGTTGTACATATACTGACCACGAAATTCACTGTATGTGAAAAAACAGCACGCAGCCCTCTGACGTGGCATCGCGACGCGATCTCGAGCATGCGCTTCGATCGCGCGTCATCGCGCGCGCGAAAGCCCCGCACACGACGCCTCGCGACCGCGTATTCGCGCGCGCGAGACCGGGAGTTCGCGAGAGATATTTTTGCCCACCGCGCGCGGTCGAATAGAGCGCCAAAAATGCTCGCCACGCGATGCGCGACGCGAATCAACGCCCGCACGGGCACCCACGGTGGGACGACCAAGCGATCGCAGCCGTCCGCGCGCGCGGTCGTCGCTCGCGCCGCGTCCGGGGACGAACGACGCGCCGCGGAGAGCGCGCGAGTGCTCGAGCGCACGCGAGAGATTCGTAACTCGAACGAACTCGATGCCGCGCTCGCGCTCGCCGGGGAAAATCTCGTCATGCTCGCGATTGAATCGGATGAGGAGTGCTACGGCGGTGACAGCGCGTGGAGTGGCGCCGATGCGAAGATGGAGTCTTGCAGGCAACTCAGTGCTTCGTTGGCGCGCATCGCTCGCGAGGCCAAGGATGTGACGTTCTGTTCGATTAACGTGGTGGGACACGAGGACTCGAGAGCGCTGGCGAGAGAACTCGGCGTCCAACAGTTTCCGACGTACCAGTACTACAAGAAAGGTGAATTGATCTGGGAACACGTCGGTGCTGGTGCTGGCTCGCACGAAAAGATCGCCGAAGGCGTGCTGTACTACGGCAACACGGGTGCAGGCGGCATGAAGACCACCGAATACATCACGGAGATCGAGTCCAAGGCAGACCTTGAGAGCTTCCTCGAGGCGTGTGCCCCGGAGCAAGATGTCGAAGGCTTCTCCGCCCCGGTGAGCGTGCCGTGCGACAAGCAGTTGGCCATCGTTGACGTCTCGATCGAAAAGAACGCCCCGGCCGGGTGCATGCATATCTTCCCGGCGATCGTTTCTTTGGCCAGGAACACCGCCGGTGCCACGCGTTGGGCTCGCCTCATCGGCGACAAGAGCGCCGAAGCCACGTCGTTAATGAAGGACCTGAAAGTTGAGGAAGTCCCAACGTTCGTGTTCTTTGCGGACGGTAAGGAAGTTGATCGATACACTGGAGCCGACCGCCTCGCTCTCATGAACAAGGTGCTCGAGTTCCAACGCGACAACGGAGTTCGCCTTCCGGAGCGCGCCACGCGCAAGCGCATGTCCACCGCCGAGGCGAAGGAAATCGCTCGCGCCGCGCGAGAGCGTGAAAAGGCTGCCGGTCGACGCTCAGGCTGGTAATGTGCGCTATCCCGCATGAAAAGACTTGTTTAAGCAGCGCGCGACAAGCTTGTAGCAGAAAAATTTACTAATACGAACAAAAAGCATTTTCAAACGAAGATTGCGGATGAGCATTACAAAAAATCGAGTGACTATCGGCAGCCGAGCTGCATGCGCGTTTCGTCTTGTACAGTCGGGTTCAGGCAAAGCCTCTTGACGTCCTCCTTGCCCACGAGAGCGTCCTCGAACGTGGCGTCCTTGAGGTTCGCGCCCTCAAAGCTCACGCCCGTGATGACGGCGTTCGTGAAGTTGGTCCCGATCATGTCACTCCCATCGAACGTCGCCCGATCGATCACCGCGTTCGTGAAATCCACCCCGGAGAAGTCCGCGTCCGGCGCGTACACCTTGCTCATAACCGTCTCTCGCATGTTCGCGCCCTTGGCGTTCGTGTTCACCATCAACGCGCCGCTCAGCGTCTTCCCCGACATGTCCGCGCCGCTCTTGTATTCACACTTTCTGAGATCCAGCACCTTATCGCTCACCGCGTTCGCTTGACCGATCGTGTTCCCGACGAACGCGCGCTCGCACCGGTTCGGGTCGGTATCGATCGGCGGCAAGCGAATCTTGTCCCCTGAGTCCGCGAAAGCGGGTTGCGCCGTCGACAGCGCGAACGCGAGCGCGCTCGCGGCGGCGACGCGATCGAACGTCGTCCTGGGCGTCCGCGCGCGGTCGACTTTGCGCGCGTCCGTCACCGAAACAGCGCGAGAGAGGGCGAAAACCATCGACATCGGCGTCGATGTGTGCCGCGTGACGTCGTCGTGGTGCGTCTGTTCGCACATGGGCTTCACGGGGGTTGAATACGCATCACGCGCGCGATCGCGCGCGCGGTCGCGCGCGCGACGCGACGCGCGCGACGCGCGCGCGACGCCCGGACGCGCACCTTTTCCCTCGCGCGATCGCCCGTCGCGCGCGCGTCGTCGAGCGATCGCGCGTGACGTGGAGGACGCGAACGCGTTCGGGCCGTTGAGCCGCGGGGTTCGAAATCCCCACCCGGTCGCCCCTTCGCGCGCCCGTTCGATGGCGCGCGCGCGCGAGATCGCTCCTACTGACGCTAGACGTATGATTACACGAAACGCGCGCGCGCGCTCAGCAGTACACGCACGGTTTCATCCGAGGATTCGCCTCGAGTAAATCGCTGTACTTCTTCATCGCGGCCGAGTGCGCGCTCGCGGCGGCGGCTCGATCGCTCGCCGGAGACCACTCGCTCACGGGTTGCCAGTGTGGTTTCACGTACGTCACCGCGCCCTCGACCGCGCTCGCGAGGACGAGGAGGAGGGTGCACGCGAGGGCGACGACGCGCATGGCGCGCGACGCTCTGACGCGTGCACGCGGGCGGCAGTGCTCGACGCTCGGCGCGCGCGTCGAGAGCGAACGCGGCGGAGGACGCGTGCGAGTCGTCTCACCTCTCCGTGCGCGCGACATGAGCGAGAGCGGCGAGCGGACGCGAGACGAGCTCGATGGGGGTTCGAGGCGGCGACGCGGACGCGGGTTCGACGGACGCGCACGCGATGCAGACGGCGACGGCGGGTACGACGTGATGGAGTACGGTGAGAGCGAGGGCGATCGCGCGCGATCGGCGAGCGACCCGGTGCGATCGGCGCAAGGATGGGTCATCTTGGTCACCGGCGTGCACGAGGAGGCGCAGGAGGACGACGTCTACGAGGCGTTCGCGGATTTCGGCGAGATAAAGAGCTTACACCTGAACCTCGACCGACGGACGGGATTCGTCAAGGGTTACGCCTTGATCGAGTACGGGAGCAAGGACGAGGCGCAGGCGGCGATCGATGGGATGCGAGGCGAGTCCGTGCTCGACGTCCCGGTCGAGGCGAGCTGGGCCTTCGTGCGCGGACGCACGCGTGATCGACGAGACTGATCGCGCGCTCGGGTTTAGAATCATAAACGCGAATCATCTGTAACATTGAACGTATAGATCCCACCGCGCGCGTCGCTCGACGCTCGTCGACGCCCGAACTCGCGAATTTAACGTTCTCTTGAGTCTCGAACCGGCGACTTTCTCCAATATTTGAATCTCCGAGCTGTCGCGCGCGCGCTTCACATCGACGCTCGTCGACGCACGTGACGCGCCATGTTCGAAGCACGCTTGACCGAGGGCGCGATCCTCAAAAAGGTCCTGGACTCAGTCAAGGACCTCGTCACCGACGCCAACTTCGAGGCCGACCCGACGGAAGGCTTCAAGCTCCAAGCGATGGATTCCTCCCACGTGAGCTTAGTGTCTCTGAAGTTACACGCCGATGGGTTCGCGCACTACCGATGTGATCGACCGTTGACGATGGGTATGAATCTTGCAAATATGGTGCGTTCGGTGACGCGATCGCGAGTCGTTCGGCGTCGTGAAGCGAACGAACGCGAGGGAAACGTCGAGCGATCTCGCGATTCGAGCGACGCAGCGTCGAGGGGTTTCGTCGCGAGCTCGTACGCCATACGATGTCGTAACGACGCTTTCGATGGCGTGAAACGAGAGAATGTATTTCTTTCGATAACACCGCCGCGCTCGGGATGCGCTCGCGCGCTCGCGCGAGCGAGGGGCACCGGCGAGGTCGACCGCGACTGACAACGGTGAATTTCAAACTTGAAACACTAGGCCAAAATGTTGAAGTGTGCGAGCAACGAAGACGCTATCACGATGAAGGCCGACGATGCGGGCGACGTCGTGGCGTTCATGTTTGAATCTCCGGGTGCGTATATAGGGCAGGCACGACGCGTGTGTCGAGCGTGAGCGTCGAGGCGACACGGTGAGAGACGGGTGCAGAGACTGACGGGGTGACCGTTCGGCGACGTAGGACAAGAGAAGATCTCCGACTTCGAACTAAAGCTCATGGACATTGACAGCGAGCATTTGGGCATTCCAGATACGGAATACGCCGTGACAATCCGGATGCCGTCTGCCGAGTTCAAGCGTATCTGCAGCGACTTGGCGACGATCGGCGATACTGTGGCGATTTCGGTGAGCAAGGAAGGTGTTAAGTTCTCCACCACGGGTGACATTGGCGACGCGAACGTGACCTTGCGCCAAAACTCGGAAGATGATAAGGAAAAGATGATCTCAATTGAACTCGGCGAGCCGGTGAACTTGACGTTCGCGCTCCGATACCTGAACTCCTTCACCAAGGCCACACCTTTGTCCGATCAAGTGGTAATTCGTCTCAGCCCTCAATTGCCCATCGTTGTGCAATACGTGGTTGTTGACGTTGGCTACATCTCGTACTATTTGGCGCCGAAAATCGAGGACGATGACGCCATGTAGACGACTGCGATAAGCTTCAATTAGAATCATAAATTCAACAACACACCGCCGCACCTCAAGCGACTCCTATCTCGTTCTATCGCCATTCTATCTATCTACGCCACAGCGCGTCCGCCACTCGCGAAGCGTCACTAGAAAGCGGCACGTTATGCACTCGTACTATGTCGGCGCCGCCGTGAACCGCCGCAACAAGCGCTGCGACGGACGCAGCATCTCGCTCACTCGCCTCGGCCCTTCCGGCAATTTCTCCAAGAAAACGCTTACGGGATGCACCTATCAACATCGGGGCGTTCACCAGAGCTCCGCCCATCGGGGCAAGCCTCGACCGCACGCGGGGCAAATCTCGAAGCAGTTCCATGTTTGCGCGACCCGTCTTCGCAAAACCGATACCAGGATCGATCCAAAGCCGCCACGGTTCGATACCGTGTTCGACGCATCGACGCGCTGTCGCCAAAAGGCCGTCGCCGACATCATCACACACGTGTCCATCGTACGTCGTGTTCTTGGCGCTCTGCATATCACTTGGGTCGCCCCGCACGTGCATGACGACGTATGGAAGTGGTGTCTCTAATGCCGCGACCGTGGGGAGCATGGTCTTGTCCCACGTTCCTCCACTGACGTCGTTGATGATATCAGCCCCTGCGTCCGCGGCGGTGCGCGCGACGGCGCCATAAAACGTATCCACAGAGACGTGGACATCAGAGCGCTTGCCAAACTCTACGTTGAGCGCTCTTATGACTGGAATAACTCGCGCAAGTTCTTCCTCTGTACTAACACGAGTCGCCCCTGGTCTCGTCGATTGCCCACCCACATCTATTATCGTTGCCCCTGCGGCGACCATGGCTCGAGCGTGTCGCACCGCTGCGTCCACGCCGCCGAAGTGAGCGCCGCCGTCGCTGAACGAGTCGGGCGTCACGTTTAGAATCCCCATCACCATGGTTGACCGTCCCCAACCCCACAACGAATCTCGTAGAGGCATCACTCGCGCCATGTCTGCGCTCGTCATCACGGCCATCTCATCGCCCATGCCCTGCCAAATTCTCTGCGCCTCGAGTAAGCCGTCTCTCGTCGCGTCCCTCCACGTCTCTGAAGCGCCCGTCAAATCTACCAACGGCCCGAGCACGAACGGTCGCTCGCTGTACCTCGCATGCGGCACCGTCAATCGTTCGCACGCGTGCACACCCTCGCCGTGAAATATCACGTCTAAATCCATGCTCCGCGGTCCGTATCGTCGCCCGCCAAAGTCCCGTCCCAGAGCCGCCTCAATCGATTTCAGCCCGTCGAGTAACTTCAGTGGGTCTCTAGACGTCGAGTCCGGGAACGTCCCGACGCATGCGGCGTTTAAGAATCGCCCTTGGTCCTCGACGTACGCAGGCGCGGTCTCGTAGAGCGACGAATGCGCCTCGAGGGTGAAGTCCAGGTCACTCCTGAGTCTTCGTAAAGCATCGCGAAATAGCGCGACACGATCGCCCTCGTTGCTCCCGAGCGCGATGACGACGCGCGTGCGATCGCCGCGCGCGGACGCGGTGAAGTGAGAGGCGCGACGGACGAGGACAGACATGACGCGTCGCCAGGCGAGTTGTGACGCTTTTTCCTAGGAATACTAATGAGCTACAATCTACGATTCGTCCGGGGAATCTCCGGCGAACGACTTCTTCCCCTGACCCTTCACCGGCACCGGATCCTCGTTCTTCGGGTAATCGCCAAAGCAGTGCTTGGTTGAGTACGCGTACTCGTTCTCGTGCAACGTGACGCTTGGTTGCGTGCGACAACGATTCGCACAAAAATCAAACGGGTCGTCGAAAAACCCCGTCACCACCTGATTTCTTCCCCTTGCATGCGTGCGCATCTCCGTCTCCAGCGTCGCCCGCCTCGCCGGCGCCAAGCAACACGACACGCACGTCTCGTACCGTTCGCAACACTCAACCGCCGCGTCGCACTTCTCGCACGAGTGCGTCGCGCTCGTCGTCGGACAGCACCCACTCACGGTATCGACGTCGTACCACTCGCACGATCGTCCGCGATCGTCCGCGACGCGCGAGACGGAGGCGTGCGAGACGCGACAGAGAGATCCACGGTCGTCGTTGAGAGTTCCAATCTTTTCACTTTCGGGGAACGCTCGTCCGTCCACACCTCGCACGACCGCGAGGACGACGAGGACGACCGTCACCGCGTGCGCGAGGTCCATCGACCGCGACGTGACGTCGACCGCTCGCTCGATCGCGCGCGGACGAGTGCGGGACGAGCGCGTCGATTCATCGCACGATGCACACAGATAAAATTTTGCAAGCGGACATATGGAACGTATTCTGTAGTTTTTAAACATGTGTGTGACTCCACGACACCGAGCGAGGGCTTGGCTGACAACCGCTCGAGAGTCGCGCGCGCGACGCACACGTCGACGCGCGCGCATCGCGACCACCGCGTGGACGCGCGCGAACGAGACCTCTTCGACGTCGCTCGCCCGCGCGTCTCCGAGAAACCACCGTGGACGAATCAAAGGGACGGTAATCATGTCGACCGACGCCGAAAAAGCGGCAGCGCAGCTCGCGGAGACGTCGATCGAGCCCGCGAACCCGGTGCACGAGCCGTCGGGGATGGATCTGAACTCCCGACTCGAGCTCGCGCTGACGATCGCGGAGGAATGCGTGCAGCCGGACGAGCTCAGGAAACTGTTGGAGAAGAAACCCGTGCCGGTGTGCTACGACGGCTTCGAGCCGAGCGGACGCATGCACATCGCGCAGGGAGTGATGAAGGCGCTGAACGTGAACAAGCTGACGAAGATTGGATGCAAGTTTAAGTTTTGGGTCGCCGATTGGTTCGCGCTGATGAACAACAAGATGGGCGGCGATTTGAAGAAGATTCAAAAGGTCGGCGCGTACATGGTTGAGGTGTGGAAAGCAATCGGAATGGATTTGGAAAACGTAGAGTTCGTGTGGAGTAGCGAGGAGATCAACAGCCGCGCGGGAGAGTACTGGCCGTTGGTGTTGGACATCGCGCGGAAGAACAAGCTCGCTCGGATTCTGAGATGCTCGCAAATCATGGGTCGAAGCGAGAGCGACGAGCTCTCGGCGTCGCAAATTTTCTACCCGTGCATGCAGTGCGCCGACATCTTCTTCCTCGGAGCCGATATCTGCCAGCTCGGGATGGATCAGCGCAAGGTGAACATGCTCGCAAGAGAGTACTGCGACGACATCAAGCGAAAGAACAAACCCATCATTCTGTCTCACCACATGCTCATGGGCCTCAAGCAAGGCCAGGAGAAAATGTCCAAGTCGGATCCCGACTCGGCCATTTTCATGGAAGACAGCGAGCAAGAGGTGAACACGAAGATCAAGAAGGCGTACTGCCCAGAGAAGGAGATCGCCGGGAACCCATGTATGGAGTACATCAAGTATGTCATCATCCCTTGGTCCGGAAAGTTTGATTTGAAGCGCAAGGAGGACAACGGTGGGGACAAGACGTATGAGACGTACGAAGAGTTGGAGGCGGATTACATCTCGGGCGCGGTGCACCCGGGAGATTTGAAGCCTTCGCTTGCGGCAATGCTCAACGCTATCTTGCAGCCGGTGCGCGACCACTTCAAGAACGACGCCGCGGCGAAGGCGTTGTTGGCGCAAGTCAAATCGTTCAAGGTGACGAAGTAGAGCAGAATGCAGTTGAAATTAAATTACACTTGAATAATTCGTCCTTTCGGTGATAATACACTAATACTTAGAATAATTTCTGTTTTAAATTTACGACCGCGCGCGCGATCACGCCGAAGATGTTGTCCTGGAGGAAGACGTCAAACTTCTTAAAGCTCCCGTTTCCGGCGATGACCTCACTGTCGAAATCGAGCGTGCGAAGTTCGCAGTTTTGAAATTCGTCTCCAGTGAAGGAGTAACACACACCCCAGTGCGCGACGACCGCAATCGTGCGCTCGGGCCTGGCGTCTAACCATTCGCGGAACGCCTCCATGCGCCGCTCGAACACGTCCACGGGCTCGAGCTCGGCTGTCGTGAACGGATCTCGTCCCTCGGGCGTGTACCACCACGACGCCTCATCATCACCCAAATCCGTAAAATCCCATTCCGGGTGCTCCGCTCGCAGCTCTCGCGCCACGCGTCCGATGTCGCTCCCGTGGAACACGCGCTCTCTCGCGAGCGCGCACGCCACGCGCGGGACGTCCGCGTATTCCCCACTCTCCCCGAACGCGAGCTCGGCCGTTCTCAACGCTCGTCCCAACGGACTCGCCACGATGAGTTCCGGTCGCGGTTCCAACATGGACGTTCTCTCCGCCAACGCGCGCGCCTGCCGTTCGCCCTCCCGCGTGAGCCGCGTGTCGATCATCATCGGATCCTTAAACCCCGGATCCGCCCAATGATTCTCCCGCAGGTACTCGTTCATCTCCGTTCGACCGTGTCGGACGAGATGAATCGTCTTCCCACCCTCGGTGGACGTCCGCGCCGGCCGACGCGTCGCTTTCCCAGCCAGCGCGCGCGGGAACACCCCCATCCCGAGCTCGGGCGTCCCCGACGACGCCCGCGTCGCCCCTCCGGCGCGCGCAGACATCGAACGCGCCGCGCCCCCGCCC